GTGGGGTCCTCCATTGCAGATTGCAGAGATAACACAATGAACTGGAAGTGTATCCCTACAAGGTTGGCTTACTGACAGTCAAAACCACAAACACCCGCGCGATCCCAGCAAGTTGAACTAGCGCACATGCCTGACTGCAAGGTGGTCGTTGTAGAGCAGAACGCTGAGCCAGAGACCAACGGAGTCTTGGTGTAAAAAGAGTGCATTGTGAGTGCTTGTTTGGGTCTATGTGCAGTTTCACACTGTCTAGCCTCCAGAACGTATGCAGCTAAGACCTGCCTTCCTTGTTGCTAAGCAACAGTGGCTTCCGTCAAAAACATGATAGATTATGTAATCTTGGCTCAGACACAAGCAACAATGGCGCCCTTTGGATTCACGGGATGTCGCAGAGGCTGCTGGTTCAAGCCCTCGCACATGCCAAGCCCTTCGTTTCCATGGGTAGCCAAGCTCAAGGATGCCCCCAGCAATCGCTGAGTACCCCGTCCTCGCGGAGCCCAACGATACTGCGATCCGAAAGATATCCAGGAAACACTACTCATGTTACTGCAAGCATTCGGTCAGCATGAAGTTTGCACGACTCGAGTCAAGGCTGCTTTGTGGTGCAAACAAACTGTGCGGAAAACAATGTCGGATGGGGGGCGTTGCTGACCAAGTGCTGAGATGGTTTAGTTGATGACTCAGCTGTCCCAAGTAATCTCAATCTCAATGGGAGCAGAGACACATGTGTGAACCAACATGGATAAAATTGCGTGTTTTCGCTTCAGCCGCCCGCATTTGCTGGACACGGTATGAGAAATGCTTGAATACTACCGCCTCTAAATGGCAGAACAGTGTCGGCTGCCAGCTGTGACAACTCGAAGTTGACATTTTTTGGACATATGGTTTGTGCTTTGTACAATGAAACAAGAACATCCAGCAAACACGAACACACATGCAGACAGCAGGTCAACATGTTTCCGAATAGCTGATTTCAAAAGCAGCATGGGAGCGTCCCGGCAGTGGCGGGATCAAAGGCCAAAACTGGGCGAGGAGTTCCTTTGGCAGCCGCCATAGTAAACTACATGGAAATGCAGATCCGTATGGGAGCTCAACTACTTATGTCCAGCTTTTGATTATGCAAGCAAATCACAGCTGAGGAATGGATTACCTTTTCGTGACACCACCAGACGGGCACACAACTCTGGAGGCGCTTGGGGAATGTGAAGTCATCAATCTGGCGCCCCGCGCCCATACCGACGCCTAAGGCGTTGCCTTTTGCCGCGTGTTGGGTCACCTGACAGGGGCTCCAAAAGTTGGCAAGATTTCAATCTGACAGCGGTCAAGCAACCAGTGGGCATAAGCTGAATGAACATGGCCTTTCAACCCCTTTCGTCGTGGTTGGAAGCCTTTTCGGAGCTGTGGGTATCCAAATTTGCTTTTAAAGAGGCAGCTTTTCGAAGCTACCGATCTGATTTTTGTTTGGGAGACATGGGTAGCTTTGCGAAAGTCCATTTCGGGCCAACCAACTTGTTTCTTTCGTTCCTGCAGCTTTCGATCCTGGTTCCAAGAACATGACCGTTTCCTCACGAGAATGCCATTCAAGGTGCCCTTTACTTGTTCTAAAGGTGGATTCCCCATTCTCTTCATGCGTCGTTCTCTGTAAAAAGCCGCCTGTTTTCCCATGGGCCTGGCCCATTTTGTGAAGAGAAGGATCCCTGAAGAGAATGGGCAAGGTACGGCTAGAAAGACGCCCCTTGTTGACGACCCTTGCATGTGACCATAGGGACCACCCTTAGAACCAAGAATGTCATGATTCGATGTTCAAGTGAATCGTGTTGCTCGGCACCATTTGGTCTGGTGTCATTGTCTTTCGGCCACTTGTGCGAATGATCAGTCAAACACTAGCAGCTTGGACAGCACAGTGAATGCCCCACGCAGTATTTGCTTGATTGGTTACTGGTTCACAAAAAGGACGGACTTGCTCAACAAGACTGCTGTGTATGCTTTTCAAGTCTCGAGACTCCAACTTAGCTTTGCTGGCCCTCGAAAGTAGCAGGGCATTTTGCGCATCTTGACCACGTATGCGTACGAAATTCAATACGGAGTCAGCTCAGGTGGACATGAATCCCCACCTAAATGATGTCCACCAAAAGGTGTCACATTAAAATTGACACGCCACACATTTATATGTATATCTTATTTGTATTCTTATATTTATTGTATTTTATACATATTTGTATAGTTGCTTCCCTTCACGCCAGTTGACCTTCGACGGCCGCCGCATTGCCACGCTCAGCCTGGGAGCCTGGCTTGATGGGATTCGCCTACACTGCCAATCCTCGGGAATGGGAGAATTTGTTTTTCGGACAAGGTATGGTTGAAAACAGAGCAGCATTTGTTTCTGCTTCCTTAACAGCTGAAGATCCACGATTTGACTAGAACCATCCCACAAGAGCTCATGTTGAGTGTCCAGCAACACCCGGGACGTCGGGGATGCCTGCTCATAATGCTCATATCCCGGTGTAGCCTGCCCGGGTTGCTATTAGGTTGGCCTTGGTTGCTATGTATCTTGCCACGTTGGTTAAGCCTTTCACCTTGGGATCATTTCCCAGGACGGAGGCCTTTTTAGCCCGCCCTCCGTCGCAGCAAAACGTAAAACGAAGGGCTTGAGGTAGTTTGCCACACACTCAATTATGAGTTGGGTGGATGCTGGACGATGCCTAGATGTTTGACAACTTGCTGCCAACAAGCCTTTCAGCTTAGCCCTTGCCACATGAATAGACCTTGCAATTTGCAAGGCAATTTTGTTCAATGTAGATGGCATGATTACCAAGAAGAGAGCAGACATATATATATATATAGAATACCTGTTTGACCCATCATTGCAACAACTAAGAGGTTATTTGAGGAGCATTCGGCAATGGAGCAGGCGCTTGACAGCGAGCTTCTGTTGAGATGCTCAGCCAGTGCATTTGGTTTTGCCGACTCTTAGACCGTAGATGTGACTTATTGAGGAGCATAGCTTAGATATTGTCTTGTTTCGCTAGGCGTGTACGGGTCCGAAAAAGGGACATGTATCATGTATCTGTATTCGAGTGGAATAGGATTAAAATCCCCACACAAGAAGGCAACCAATAAATTCGAAGGCTTCTCATTGTGCATTTGGCGGCTGTTGCAAGGCGCGAGCAGAGGGCGAAACAAAGCCTTTCTTGACGAACACTTGGTTTTGTGAGTATTGTCTTCTTGGAATTACGCTAAGATGCAAGGCAACCGGAGTTTGAGAGTAGAAAACAGGTTGCTTCCAAGACCTCAGCAGACAAGTCACTTTGCTAGTAAGAAACAACAAATAAGGCTCGCAAGAAGAAGCTGCCAATAATGACACTAGACGAAGGACTTATTTAGAGATATTCCAATTTGGCCCACAAGTATTTTGGCTGCGGCTCTTATCTAACTACATGGATGAACAAACACGGCAATGTATGAAATTGGCAATATTCTCCGACCCGCTCACATGTAACCAGCCAGAAGATTCCATCGCAATCAAATTGTCTTCCAGGTGATACTCCTTCAGTTTCCCTTCGGGTGGAAAGAAGTTTGCGAGGGCAATTGGCAAGCCGAGCCGAGCAAGGCGGCAACGCAGTGTTCGGCCAGGAGGTGGTCTTCGGAGTCACCAAAAGGCAAGACTTTGCGATTGGGAATGATGGGAATGCAATTTGGTTCTGAGGCCAGAGTTTCAATGCGACTGAACAGCACACGCCAGTAAAGCCTTTGCTAGGCACAGCTCTTGACTGCACGTGTTGCGTTCGGAGACCTCTCGTCTGTAGCTTCGAGTGTGGCAGGTTCATTTTTGGTTCGCGGCTAACAAGTGGCTCGGTGAACTCGCCGCGGCCTTGGCATCCGTACAGCACCCTGAGGCATCTTGGGTCCTCAAAAAGACCGTTTGTGAGGTCCAAAACCTTGCAAGGGAGAGCTCCTGACCACTTCAATGGAGGGTCCAATGGTTTTGCTATGGCCACCAGAAGTCCGTCGGCCTCAGTCCTTGTCGATTTGCTTATAAGAGTCTTATAAGCCACGCCCACAGGAGAGGAGAAAAGGAATATGCGTCAGAAAAACTGATCACTTGATTGAGCACATGGCTGTTATCGCCACCAGGATGTGTGCGCCTGTTTTGATTGCTGACATGCAGGCGACTGAGTCAACGTATTTTGGCTATTTACTCCAACGGGCATATCAAGTATGTTGTAAGAATGTTTGAATACTGTGTGTGAATGCGTTTTAGCAAGAGAGGATGGCAAGTGAGACACCCTCATGTCAATAGTTGGTCACTGGTTTTGAAAACTATGGTTTGAACGTGAACCGGTTTGACATACGTTACATGCTCTTCATCTGAATCATTCAGTCTCGCAGAGTCACCCTCGCCCAAGCAAGAGTGGTTCACCTTTGGAAGCTCTTTTTACATTCCTGGAGGGAGATGCCATTTTCCCATCAAACAAGCTTGAGTGTGTGTGTGTGTGTGTTTTTTCTACATTACGTCAATTGGCCCCGGGATGTGCAAACAAGCTGGATGTTCGTGAAAGATTGGCTAGCTTTGCTTCCTTTGGCTTTGCCTCAAAAACTGTTGAGCTGCACTGGATTTTCTACAACAAGCTTTTGTTGGCCACTGTCACCCTTGGTAAGGTTTTCGTTGCCGTGGCTGTCAGTTGCCCGGCAAGATGTACAATATGTTGCAGTGTCTTTCCTTGGGCCCGCGGGCTTTGCCTCCTAGGAGGCTCCATCAAGCACTGGCATGGTTTATTCTATCAAGAGGCAGGCATTGTTTTATCAATCCAAGACAATGCACATGACTGCCGCTTAATCTTTGGGTGCAGGTTAGCAAGCATCATTTCGAACATCCTTGATTTCGAACAGGCACATTCATGCACGAACAGGTGATGCAAGCGTCCACAAGGTGTCCCTTGTCACCCTGATTTTTGCAGTGACACCGGGTCGTAGCCCTCAGGGCCAGGAGGAACACACGGATGTGCCTTGACCAATAAAAGTTGAACGCTCTTCCCAGCTATGGAGTTCTCCTCCAGTGAGGGCGAGAGCAGCAGCGATATCGACTCCATAAAGCTGGACAATGTGGCGAAGAACCCAGCGTGGCACTTCGTGGAAACTCGCCTGATCGATAAACCCTGAACTCTCTGGGGTGCCCAGTAGATAGGTGCCCTTTCCCCCAACAGCGCCGTCTAATACTCTACCTGGAAAGTGTAGGGGTGTTTTGGTGTCCGGTTGTTTGGGTGGCTCCGGTGTGATGCCTTGTCGTTGTGTTCGGGTGGTGTCTTAGCGGTATCTCGGCGCTGTTCCGGTTGCTGGTCGGGTTGGGCCGCACCCTGTGCTGCCTCTGACTGTGTTGACTACTGTGAATGGGACTGAGTTCCAGAACATCTTGGTGCAGCGTGTAGCATCGGTTTGTATGTCATAGCTGCATGCTTCTTTGATTTTCCTACCCATCCCGGTAGTGTCCCAGTTGCCTCAGTCAGTCTCCCAATTTTTGCTGGTGTCCCGATCTGTCCACGTGGTCCTGGTGCTGTTCCGGTTGTTGTTCCGGCTGGGTGGAGCGCTGGCGGTGTTCTTTATTGCCTTCCTCCTCAAACCACAGCTTCTAGTGGCAAAAAAGCGCTGCTGGCACTGCACAATTCCGCTTCCCATCTGAACAGTTGCTCCATGTGTCAGAATGATTTGCTGTACTGTTTTGTTGCCTATGCCTTTCAAGCCTGAGGTGGTTACATCCGCGTTCACCTTTGGCATCGTGTTCTCGCCCTACACCTTGGGTGCGGCGGGCTGGTTTTGGGGCAGCGCCTTTTGGATTTTCTCCACGGCCACCACTTGGGTCAGCGGCATCCTCATTGGGCACTGCGTCATGGAGGCCGTGGCCAGAGGGAAGGCCGGGTGCGCAAACAGGGCTGCCATGTTAGCCAAGCGGGTCCGTCTTAGAATAAGAATCGGACACCCAACATGGTTTAAAGTTTAAACCAATCTCGAAAAGGGTACCCGCCAGAAAAGACCGACCCGCATTGCACCTTGTCTCTTTCTTTCCGTTTCTAGTTATGTTTGTCTTAGTCTCCATTTTTGTCTTTGTTTTTGTCTTGGTGCTGTCTTCATCTTTCCCCTCCTCTGTCTTTGCCTCTTTCTTTGGCTGCGTGCCTTTCTTTTGCGTTTCTTCGTTTCCTTCTCTCTCGCTCTTTCTTCTTTGTTTTGCCCTCTCTCCCTCTCTCTTCGCCCCAGTAAAGTGAGCAAAGCAACGAACATCGAGGTCTTTGACAGTCGAACACAGAGGTTTCCGCAAGCAAAGTGAACAACACACCGCGTAGCAGGCTGCACAGTTGGATCTCTTGATATTTGTTGTGATCCCCTCCACCGATGCTCCTTTAGCTTCTTTTTGCTGGAACCCAATTTCTTGTCCCATGTGATGTGGAACGAACCCTGCATTGTCCCTGTTTTCTTTGCAACTTGTTTGCTCTCCGTAGGGCTACAGCTATCCTGACATGATGGCCGATGGCTTTGGCCGGGCAGGGTACATCTTTGCAGTCACCATGCAGGTGTCTACGTACTACCTGGCGACTTAGCTTTTAGGCAATACCCCCTGGTTAGTAGGGTGTGTCTCTCGTAAGTAAGGGTGAGTTCTTCACTTTTGGAGGAAACCCCGTGTTTGGGGAAGAACGTTGAATGGAGACTTTTAGTTGTGTGAAGCTGAGGTGAACATCGCCCTGTTTGTGGACATCTCCAATTGGCTGCTGTTGGCGCAGGAGGGTATAGACATTCTTACGGAGAAGACCCCGTTCCTGGGCCATCGCTTCTGCTTTTGCGACATGTTGTTGCTCACAGGAGCTGCTGCCACCTGTCTTGCGCAGGTCCGCACGTTCAGAGGCAACGGGTCCAAAAACTAGAGATTCCCTACACATTGCAAGTACACCAGGAAGGAAAGGATACCAATAAGTGCAGCTGGGTTGGCCTGGTTCCCTATCCATGGCACATCGCTGTGTTTTCCATGAATCTTTGAGAGTCACCAGTATCTCTAGGACGCTGACTGAGAGTCCCCACTTCCTGGCAGGTCTCATCTTTTGGGCGGCCGTGAGCCTTGCGTGCACTATCGCCCGAATCATGATCCTCGTCTATCAGATCGGAGCACATGACTTACTGCAGGCTGCTTTGAATGTGAAGCGTCTGCGCATGCTTGCGCCTTTTGATCTTGCACCTGCTGCCAGTGTGGACTAATTGTTTGGATTTAATTGGCACGGAACTATAAGTCCCTAACTAGCCTTGGTTTTAGCATTGGTTCACAGCAGGGACTTGACGAACATGTAGACAGTGTCTGCTGGATAGTCTGGCTAATAGAGCAACATCGAGGTTTACTTGTTCAAAACTGTACCCAGTGAGCCAATCAGGATTAGTTTCAGCCCAGGGGTCCAATCGACTTTCCTTCGGAGCCGCACTGCCCTCTATCCAGCTTGTGTTGTTTTTGTTCTGGCAATTACACCACACGGGCATGCTTTGTTAGTTTCCGTCCAAATGACATTCTGCTGCCACACCCCCAACTAGACTAATTAGTTACCTCAGGCCTTTGCTAGTAGCCGCTTGTCCAGCCAAGTGGCAATTTGTCGCAGGAGTGCCGGCCCAGCTTTGACGGCATTACAGCCACCTCCACCTTCAACTCTCTGGCAACCACGGCTGCTCGGCAATCTGTTGGCACAATATGCACACCGCGTGTCTCGAAGGGTTGCGGTGGATCGCTGGTGAATTGAAGGGGCGCAGCTGAACTGAGCAATGACAACCTCCCACAGGGAAAACGTACGTTGCTACTGGTAACTTCTTCTGTGAGATGTCTCTGGTGAGGTCACCCAGATTCGAGGAACTTGGAAAAGAAATCAATATTCTGCCAAATACAGCGACAGATGCAGGAATTCCTGGCGCTGATCAGTTTGGCCTGTATCCCTGACATTCAAGCTCAAGCGGGTGCTCATTCGCCATCCGTGGGTAAATCAACCCCACGTGAATTTAGACTTCTAGTCAGACAGATCTGGCCGATTTTCAGAATGGCCACATACCCCGGAATGGCAAAGGCTACTTGCATATTTGTCGTATGAGTCAGGAATAAGCTTGCAACAATGTTTGAACCAGACAGTTGTGCGTTTTCGAGCAGACATTATGTTGCTTCATGAAGCCAATACGGCTTCAAGTCCAGCTCTTTGTTCATGACATGTTGACACATGTTCTAAGAGGCATCATGTGTCAAATGCCGGATTTTGCAGTGTTCGCCTCATTACAATGGTCGCCTCGTTTGAGGTGTCACGTATCTTTTTTGTTCCATGTGTTTTTCTTGTTTAGCAAAAACATATATAATGATAAACATTAAAAACATGATAATAGCTTGTTGGCCGGCCTGATGGCCACCTAGGAGTTGAGCCGCTAGGCTTGTTCAATCCATTGCCGAAACACTCCAATTAATCCGCGATTCGTGCATGGTCGAATCAAGCCGTAAACTTTGCATCGCCAATCCGCTACTTGGGGGGGTTCAAAGAAGCCTGGGCTACCTTTTGGGTGCACGGGAATAGATCTGCCTTTCTTTGGCAATCCCTATTTGTTTTGATTAAACATTTGTTTGGCAGTCAAGTTCGATTCTTCGAACCTTGAAGATCAATCTTTGTGGAACTGGAGGCCGTTCAGAACGACACAGTTTTTGAACAAGTAAACTCTCTAATGCACCCTTGGTGACACCTACTGCTTCACTTCAAAGCTTCAGACCTATGGAGAGTTCTTGTTTACGTCTGCTTGGGCACTCATGAAGAAACGAGGTAGGCAAGGCCGTTCCCAGCGGATTTTCGCAGCAGGCTTGTTGTTTGGTCGGAGTTTGGGCTCTTTTTTCCGTCGTTTTTTTTCAGCCCCGCCTCGATTTCGGCTTTTCGGCCCCCAGGCCTTCCTCTTCGGCGGCCACGGGCTCTTCCCCGAAGAGATGGCAGAGCTGCGAAGGCCGGAGAGCTACTTCCCCGCGCTGCACGCCAGCTACGTGGTGCTGATCCTCGGCTACGGCCTCAACACCTACCTGGCCTATGCGGCCTTTGGGCATGAAATCGGAAGAGGTCCAGGATACTGCTATAGTTTGGGCACCCATCGTTTCAGATTACTTGATTTGTTCGGCCAGATTGTTGCCCTTGTAGTTTTCGTCACCATGAATGGGCGGCCGGCGGCCGCACTGGAGACAGTGCTTAGTTCCTTCGCTGCATCGACATGCAGAAGTGGGAGCTCTTTTGGAGACACACCCAGGTGCTGGCGTTGCGATGTGTGTGTTTGCGTTTATGTGCACGCAGGGACATATGATCTGGTCAATGCAAGAGAATGTCAAAGGCTAGACTTCAAGCTTTGCAAGTGCTGGACGTGTTCGTCTTGCTTGCTGTTGCTTTGGAGAGGATTCCCTGCACCCTGCAACAATGTCTTGAAATGTTTGCTAAACCCAAGCTCGGAGCCGCTTTCTTCGTTTTCAATCAGCTGAGGTCTGGGGGGAGTGGACGGCTGGCGATAATCAGTTCAATTGGCCCTTGAATGGTGCCACGCTGACTTCCTCCTTTCTGAGCGCTGTCTGGGGCATCCTCGAGATGACCACATCTCATGTCATGCTACTGAACACCGTGGCTGGACTTGCAATGGATGTTCTTAAGCCGCAGGCTTTTGTTTGCTTTCCCCACCCATCCTGGTCAGCGAAACGCCCAAAGTAGAAGACTTCCTTGTTAAGATCTTGGCGTTGCTTGCTGCCCCATTGTCGTTTACTGTTGACTAGACACAATTCTGGGCCCAGCAAAGCAAATAATGTGGGCGTGTTCGTAGCTTGTCCGTGATGTTTATGTCTGCGGCTTCGCTCTGAAACGCAACGGTGTTTTGATTGAAGCTAGTATCCTGTTTGTACATGAAGCTCCCACAAACGGGTAGCGCCTTTGGAAGTATGACCTCCTCCAGCACGTTCTCATGATACCAAGAAAACTGATTCACTGTTAACATTGAAGGGTATTCCCTATCGATGATTGGTGGTATTGTCGGGAATTGATAAATAGTTGTTTAGCCTTTGGCACCCGGATTATTGTGTTGCTTCGCTTTGCCCTCTCTTTTTGGCCAGCTGATATCCTACAAACAAACGGACGGATGTCGATTTGGTTGGCCACTGCCTTGCAACCAAGGTTGAGAAGCATCCCTGGGTTAAGGCCATCTTGGACAAGAGGGGTTCCTGTTACAGCCGGGCCCTGATCCGCGCGACTTTTGTGTGGACAGAAGTCTTCTGGGCCTTCATGTTCTCGGCTGCAGGTGCTCTGGCATGAGAGAGGTTTGGGGATGTGGCAATTTCTCAGCCTGCCTGAGATGAGCAAGCCCAATTGCCCAATGCTTTATCATTGGCTAAGCTTTGAGGGATCCACCTTAGTGGCCAGCTCACAAAGGGGCCGCTGTCGGCCAGGCTTGGGTTTGTTGGTTGTCATTCAATCCCGACATAAAGCCACGATACGTATTTCGGCAACTAGTTCCATGGTCATGTGCAAATTATTTAGCGATTCTGCATCAATAAAAAAAATATTTGCCAGTGGCAAATCCTAGCAGTGCGATATCGTTTTCGCACAGAATCTTGCACTCTCCAACATTTGTGTTTTTTTTTTTTGTGTGTGTGTTTTTTTACAATGCGTGTGGCTTCGAGTCATACCAATCCTTGCCACAAGGTGTTGGACCTGCAGAAACCAAGGCATTGCCAACATCCAAGCCTTTGTTGGTGCCTTCGGGTTTACATCTCTCACCTACTATGCGCCTTTTGCGGCTTACTGGAAGCTGCTGCGGAGAACATCGGACCGGAGAGGAGCTGAGCTGGCATGCCTGATCTTTATTCTGGCGGGCTTGCTGTTGACAATCGTTGGCTCGTTGCCCAGCTGACAGAGTGAGGTTGTGAGGATGGTGTGTTTAATTTTTCGGCTTCCGGGTAATCGCTATGTTGAGTTCATGCACATGCACGTGGCATCAGGTTGCAGTTGAGACAGTAAGACTGCTTGCGCACCTCAACATCCAGGAAGACCCAACACCGAAGTGAGGATTAGAAGCGCTCAGTTCATGTTGGTTGTCAGCTAGCTGAGGTATTCCTCGATTTCTGGCATGGTCGAGGAGATCAATAAGTATCGACTATTTGACACGTCGACCTGCTCCGTGTCTGACTTGATGAGTACATCTTCTTGTCAAAATCCCTGCCGTGAAGCATATGGATACGACCCGCAAGATTGCCAGGGCTCCTAACTTGTACAGTCCTAGCTCATGTATTGGGCAACGCGGCATGGCGAGGATGTCATCAACAGTTCTCGTTGCCTGCAAGGATGTGTTTTTGGATGATGCACTTTTGTATCACAATTGTGAGGGAGCAGTAACATTCCTTTTCCTCACGGCCCAGTTCCAGGCGTTTGTGTGAAGGTGATCAATCAACAGTTAGCGTTGCAGTGATGTGTGTTGTGGAACTCTGCGATGCACTTTTGTTTCGTGCTTGTGAGGAGCAGTTGATTTTCCTCACTGTCAACTTCCGCGCGGCTCTGTTGAAGGTTGTCCCGTGCACGTCCCACAGGCAAATATGATAATTCTGAACCATGAGCATGCGGAAGAAACCTTAGACCGCGGTAGATCCCGGCAATGTACAGAGGTCTCTGCTAGAGATCATCGGTTGCAGCAAAGGGACGTGTGACTAAATGGTCACAACCTAATTATGTGCCTTCCCACCGATATGAAAAAGGACAATGAGTTCCAAGGGTCTTCCTTCAGGTTCCATGTAGGCGGGTGGGTGGCTGGAGTGGTGCGTGGTGTGCGGCTGTGGGGTACGGGGGTGGGTGGAGCATTGGAAGTGTCAGAACATGCTGGCATTGTGTATTATTGGCCTTCACAACCAAAAAGGTTTGCCGTAATGCTCGCCTTGCCCCTCTGAATCAATCAAATGAGCGAACGCGTCCGGAACCGGGCTGAACATTGACCCTGCCGCACCTGCCACACGAAATTCAACAAGTCCACGGAGCCGCTGGAATGTGTTACTACACAGCCCTAGGAGGGCAAGACTTTCGTCCTCCTGAAGTATTGAGTGCATTTTGGACTGTTGTCACCCGCTGCATGTGAGGCTGTGGGTCATTCCTCGCAAAGTGGCGAGGGCCTTAGATTCCTGGCTTGCTTTGCGACAGTCAAATATACCCTGCCGCGAAACATGCCAGCACACCGGCGTTTGTCTCAAGACCAGGTGCCCGCAGGTTACCCACAGGGGCAGGCCCAATTTGCATGTTACCAGTACTCATCCACATACCCCTTGGTTATGTTGATCCCTCCTCCCTTCGGCATCATATTTGCAGTACATATAGCCCCACATATGCATGCAACCCTCTCATGCCCTGCGGCTGGCCAATTCTCGATTTTACAATTTTAACATGTATATGTATATATATATATTATAATATACATATTGTACACAGAAACGGAGTAGAAGGAGAGACAGCGGGATCGCTTTCTTTAGTGGCCCTCAACAAGGGATCACGATGGCCCTCATCGAGGTACTCACGAAATGTTCAATCAGTTTGAGCTTTGAAGGGCTAACATGTTTAGGGGCCTGCCTTGTTTACCGCACTACGAAGGCCGGGAACTTCAATTTACTCCCATTGATTCCAACCAGCTCTTTCGCTTGTTGACAGGTTTTTGCCCAAGCTACTTATACTACTGTGGATGGGCAGAAACCTGCACCATTTGGAGTGCATGAAGCCCCAACAATACTGAAACAAAGCGCCTGCCAGCTGGTGCGGAATGGATTTGTCCATCCACAGTATGGTTCCCGTGTCTGGGAGTCAGGTTGTTGAGGGCATCCACCTCGCTCTCTCTGAGGTGCAGTCCTTGCTACAGAAGGATGCGTCCGGGGGCCCACAGACTGCGCTGGTATAGTATTTCGCAGGGCCCGGTTGGGACCTGAATGAAAATATGAGATGGCCTTATGGAGCGCGAACGGAGCTATCAGCCGCGCGATTATCCGGAGGATCAGCAAGCTATGGCCCTGAGCTCGGAGGCCCCTCCAAAAGTTGGTCTCCTCTTGTTTTTTGAGCAACATTGCTCAAGCAAGTTCGAATTCGCCTAGCGACTAGTCAACTAGTCGACTAGTGGTGCGACCGCGGTTTTTTCGTGGAACCGTCTTCTTCCCCTCCCAGCTTAGGCATCGAGGAGACGCTCGGCTCCTGAAGCAGCGCGCTCACGACGATATCGTCTCCATCTTGAAGACCTGGTACAGCCAGGGTCTAAAAACTTCCCCCCTCGGAGCCGCCCCCAGGATCACGGAGCTGCGGTCAGAGAAAGATGTTAAGTCAGACAGAACAAGACGTATTTCATAAATGTGTTTTCAAGGTTGTCGGGCACGACACATGCCTTGTTGAGGCATGCATGCACCGATTTAGTTGTACATTGCCAGCACCCACTTTGATTCAGTTAGGTGGTGGAGCTCTTAGCCGGCAAGATAAGGCGGTCAACCTACTCAAGTGATAATGCTAAACGCGATGGGTGTCCGTGTATGGAAGCCCTTGCGCAGCGTTTTTCCAAATTGCGGCTAATGCTTTACTCAGTGTCTTGTATGGCGATGCAATAGTTGCAATGTATAATAAGTTTATCGCTGGATAGCGGGACAGTATTGAACCTACATCAAGTACTACCAGCTGTCCAATAACTCCATCCCAGCAAGGTTTCGGGATGCATTCAGCCAATAGACAGGATGCAAAGTACTCACTGAGGCGAGCCAACCATGGGCTTGTCAGTGCGCCTCTTCGACCCGTATGGGTATGCCTTTAAGGCTCGGAACCGGACGTTTGGTATGGGCTCTTTGAATCCGGAAATCCTTGCGAAAGGTTCTGACCAAGTGGTCATATTAGTTGTTCTCCCATCATATTTCCCCAGATAGCTGAAAGCTATAGGGGTTCAAGCTTCAATTAATTAAAGAAGGGAAACAAGGGGTGGGTGCTGTTGTCGCAGGGTGCTGTTGTTGCAGGGTGCTGCTGCAGGCTGTAACTCAGTTGCGCAGGGCGAGTCCTGGTGGACTTGCTTAAAGCGCCGGCTTGCCGATGGGCGTGACGAGCTCGGAATACGTGCAGACCGTGGGTGGCAGCACGAGACCGGCCCAGCAAAACAACATCGTGCTCCACACGTCTTTGCTTCGATTCAGCTGTGTGGGGTTCGGCTGTGGGGCGCTTGGCTCAGGGTTGCGCGGGGCGAGTATCTGCAGATGTGCGCCTTGCCGATGGCGTGATGAGCTAGGAGTACGGTCAAGATACTGCGGGTCGTGCTTTTGCATGATGCTGTTTCACGGTGCTGCGGCAAGGTGCTGTGGCAAGGTGCTTTTGCAGGGTGCTTTTGCAGGGTGTTGCTGCGGGGTGTTTTCGCTGCTGCCTTGGTTCGGAAGATACTCTCGCATATTTGGGCGGTAGTATTGCGTGATGCTGACGCAATGCTGCTTTTCTCTAGAAATTATACTGTTTTCTGAGGGAAGCGCTTTTGGTATGCTCATAGCTGCTGCATGTTGCAAGAAAATACTCGTGTGTTGCACTAGTTTGGCGGTAGCATTGCGTGATGCTAATGCGGCGTTGCTTTTGCTCCCAAAATCTAGCGTTATGTTTTCGCTCCAAGAATCAAGCGTTGTGTTTTGGCGGGGAAAGGCTTTTGGTATTCTGTGCATTCCCCTCTCCCGAACAATGAAACGTCCCCCCCCTTCATTGAAAAACATCTTAGGAGAGTTTTTATTATTAGGGTCCCCCGGTTTTTGGTCAGAGCTGCTTCAGATTGGCTTGTTTAGTATTGGATTCCAACTGGAGAAGTGGAGCCCCTTTGATTTGCAAAAACAGTGCTCAAAAGGCAGTTTCCGAGAAAGAACTTTGGACAACCGACACCCAATAATAAAAACCCTGATTTGATTGAAAGACACCTTCTGAAGGGAACCTTGTCACGCAAGGAAACCCTTCGGTAAACACCCCAATTTCAAAGTATGGTTGAGGGAGGCAGACAAGGTAGGGAAGGGGTCACGCCTAATAAGCACGTTTTGGGATTTACCGGGCTTCCAGAGATTTTCGTTTTGGTTGGCAAATTGTGGGGTCGGCTGGGGGGGTTGTATTACTGCGGGTCCCTTTATCAAAAGCAAGAAGGGATTCGTGTTTTGTGCGCAGAAATGCTATTGTATATCTTTGTGGTGGAACACTTGATGCTAACGCGCTGGTTTGTTTTGCCCGCGAGAAATGATGGCATTATGTTTTCTAGGGCGGAGTTGCTCAACGTGTTCTGTAGTTGCTGATTTGTTGCCGGTAGTTCATCGTGCATATGTTGGCTGTTTCATTGTGTAATGCTAATGGGACGTTGCTGCTAAATATTTGGGGTTGCGCTTTCGCATGGAAAGGTTCTTAGTATGCTTTGCAGCTCCTTTGTTGCCGGAACATTCTGGTGTATTTGTGCGCTAGACTTACGTGCTGCTGATGCGTCGTTGCTAGCATATACTTTCACGACAACACCCCTTTGAGCATTGCCCAGGAGGCGACGTACTTGTGAAACAATCGGAACCACACAGTAGTAGTAGTAGACGTCAGAAGGGAAGTTTCACACCGCATTCTACATACACAGCGTACATGCAATAGATTGTCCCTGTTTTGGAAGGTTCCAACCACATAGAACAAATGGCAGTTTCGCAGTTATGATGCGGTGATCAAAGCAAATAATTGTTGCACTGCCTCGAACCCAATTGACGCAGCCCTTACGCAAAGTGGATGCTTTCCATTTACGGGGACTACGACGAATGTTAAAGTTGCCAACTACATACGTACAAAGGCACAATACGAACTTGAGGGTCTATGAGCTAGGCTCCTAAACAGCATCAAGCAGCCAGAAAAGTTAAGCCTTTCATAGCCTTTCTCACAATAATTGGATGCAAGGCAAATAAAGTTGGCTGGGCACATTTTACGTGCGCCGAATTCAGATCCACTCAGACAAGTCTCATATCAACCAGAATGCGCTGAACCTGTTCACAGTGGTAAACGCAGAGTCAAACGACCTAGACAACAATGGCTGTGTAGATCCTTTGAGGCTATCCCCAATTGAATGAGTCACTCACGTTTTGATGGCGACACTTCTTAATACAGAAATGTTATGCGTGCTGCTCAACAAAGGAAAGTAGAAGACTAAGCCAAACAACGACACATCTTACTTAGTTGCAGCCGACTTGCAGCAAAATGCATGACAGGCGAACCAGGTGCGTCGTTCCGTTTGCTCCGGAAAGTGTAGTGTCTTGTTGCGCTGTGTGTCCGAATCGATTCTTCCTATTTGCGGTCTATGCAGCTATAATTTGTGAACAGTTTGTGGTGGGGTGCTCTGAGGCAGAGCCTAAGTGCAACAAATCTGAATGAGGCTCAGCTGAATCCGTGAATACGAAACCAGGGGTTGCGCGGTCGCATGGGTCACTTGGTTTTGAAGAGGTGGTGTGTCTTTTTGCAAGCTGGAAAGAGATGTTTAGCCTTTGAAGCCATGGAGACGCCAGTGATGCCTGTCAGTTTCCACGCAGATCAAAAAGCCAAGACATGTTCCAGCTGATGCAGGTAGTTTCCTGTGACACGAAGGACACCATTTGCACACAGCGAACGCATCCTTGTCAAAGCAAGGGTTGCCAATTGCCACTACGCCGAGGAAAATGATACTTTGTCACTTTCTGTGGTCAGCTCGGTTGTTGACGATTGAAGCTTGAATGGAAGGAAACATGCCGAGCCACGTTTACTCAGCATATGGTTCATGGCTGAGAGGGGATGCATCAGATGGTTGTTTCCCTGTCAGGTACAACCAGTAATTGTTCACGAAAAGCTGTTGGTGGTTTAGACAATATATGCACGTGAAGGAATGAGTGATCAAATTACAATTGATCCAAGATCAGCACGTGCTCTTATTCGTCACTTGCCTGCAAACGCAACAGGAGGATACAGTAGCATCAAGGCCTTTGTGTGCACGTTCTTCTTCATGCCACAAAGTATCAGGCCAAACAGTTCTCCCTAGCCAATACATCATCGCGGTCCTCTTCAATGACGCGCTTACCACTAGGTCGTCTCTGCAATATCTATGTTGATAGCGTTGGGATGTAGTTGTGGCTGGAGCAATCCTCCACTTTTCGGCTTGGCGAGCAGGTGGCGCTGGTCGAGGAAGTCGAGATTCAGATTATTTCAGCTCGGGCCCGTGCTAAAAGAGAGCACGCTTGTTGTACGGATCAAGCAAGAGGTGGGGCCAAGCCGGACCACTTAAACAAATTCTGGCAGTGCAATCTCGGAAATATTGCACGTATAACAGGAGCCCTTTGCACATGATCGGCTGACACTGCTTGTCAACTGGAGCCCAGGGGCTAATATGAATCGGTGTGCTTGTGTTGAGTGCAAAGAGACAAAGCTGCTGATTGCCCATACCCAGGCTGGCAGTGTGACCTGCAAGGAGTATGATCTGCAGGAGCGGGTCCATGGCACACTGACACAGCCACGTGCCATGCGGCATCATGCGGATAGCTGGTGTCTGAATACGGTGCAGCATCCCAAAGCTTAGCAGCCGATTGGTGATGGCAGTGTCATCAACCAACCTCTTGTTGTAACTTGTGTTAGTTGGGGGCTGTAAGCTGAGCTGCGAAGGGCGCCCAGATGTCAGAAAAGATCCAAATTGAATTTGTCAGAGCTTTCGTCCAAACACCAACACCTGAAATAACAGGTTCCTTGCCCGGGGTGTTCTATTTGAGTTTGCTCGAGCAATTCAGTTTCATTTTTGAACTTTTTGACAGTTCTTCGTCATGTGCTAGTTGGTCAACTTTGAGATGCTTGGTCTCTTTCCACTGCTCTCTTATACCGGCTGTGTATTAGATTTCCTTTGAGAGCGTCAACCAAGGGAGTTCCATCAGAGGACTGGGCACTGTGCCTTTGGCGGGGGGAAGCTGATGCAACTCGGCGTCTTGAGCTTCTCTTCGCGGATGCAGGACATCGAGGCTACGAGGATATCATGCGTTTGCAGACCCCCAACTCCGAACTGTTCTGACATGTTTTGGAGACAGAGGAACAGTTTCGCACATCTCAAACATCCCCACTCGCTTAAACTGTTATTGTTTGGTGGTTTTGCTTCATGTCCAAGGTAAAATGAACATGGGACTGGGCGGGCCTTGGCGGGCTTTGTCGTCTTTTGGGGCTCAGGGTGTGTCATGGCGGTTTCTCACTTTGCTCGTAGCCGGTGATCTTTGTGGCGTCAATCAGTTGAAGCCTTCGACCAGTGGGCCTGAAAACGGACAGCGTGGACACGCCCTGTGGTACACGCCTTGGAGCAAACCTTCGACAGCCGCAAGACTTGGCGGTCGGAACTGAGGTCTTAGAATCCGGGGCCGGAGCCGCGGGGTCCTTCCTTCGGCTCACCCACGGCAAAGGCCCGGGCCCGGCACCAAATCGGACCCGCGGTCGCTCCCTTCGGATGGGTCCAGGGTGAAGGTTTGAAGGGTAGGCGATTCATGGCCCATCAAGGTCTCGATTGATTCTACAGTGGCCAGTTTACACCAATCAACTGATGTGATGCACACCGCAATCAACTGAATGCGTGCGTGATCAGAAGGATGCCATACGTTCTTCTGTTTGCATGCTGACACATTCTCGCTGACACATTCTCGCTGACACATTCTCGCTGACACATTCTCGCTTGTTGCGAGATTGATTTGATAGGTGGAAAAGCAACGCTATACTGTAAGATGCAAGACGTACAAAGGCTTGCGTCTCAGACATGATCCAGACGCTTCTGGAATATTGTGGAGTAGCGGCTGATCAGGACTGGCAAAAACCAACTGCACTCGTTGAAATCCAGTGTTTTAGCATTCTTCAAGCAACTGGGAGTGGAAGTTGCATCCGTTCAGCATTGAACAGCGCAGCCAACATCCTAGGGCTCCAAAAGCCTTATTTTGAGACGAACCGACTTGTTTGTGTGTGTGTGCTTGCTCCCTTTTTGGATTGTTTTGCGTCAAAAGGAAGCCACTGAGAAGCCACCATAAGAGACCTGAATGGAATCCATGTCGACTTGGGCATGTTTGAAATGAGATACTCCATGGGTATCTTGTTTAGGTCTTGCCTCCAAAGGTATACCATACATCTGTGTGATTTCCCTTTTAACGTGACCCCACAAGGGAGAGAACCCCACAGTGCCCCAGAAGGTCAAATTGGGAGAAAGGTTTCTTGGTGTAGGAAGATAGGGAACCACTGAACTCTATGGGTGTTTTAGATTTTTGCTGTTGGACAAGTGCTCTATGGAATTCGATACCCGATGCAAATCGTTTGTTTTTTTGCCCTCATTGCGAACCCAACCAACCCAAACCAACCAAAAGCCACTTAACCCCTTATCCAACCAACGGCCACAGCTGCCAACCGGGAACCATAGAATCCGATGCCAGGCCAGGCCTGGGCAGCTTGGTGGGGCCTCATGGAGCTGCTGGGCACACAGGTCTCCCCACACATCAGCCGCCACCCCGTGAAGGCACGTCCAACCGGTCCCCGACACAAAAACGACGGATGTGGCTCGGCGTTTTGGTCTGGGTCCAGTGAAGTGACATCCTCAAAAATGACCTGTTCACAGTGAGAGATCCAGACGTTCAGTTTCTTTTTTGGGGTTCCGAGGTGTTCGTCGAACAAGCCGACAAATGCTTGGGTTCTTCCGTTTTGAAGCGTAGGATGCCTTTTGGAGGCATGCACTTGTGAACTCAAACAGATGCCAAAAAGACACTCCTGGAAGGCGCGACGGTGTCCTTTCGGAGTGGCACTAAACTCTGATTGGCGCGTTTGGAGATATCCGAGCATTCTGACTAGGCGACTTTGGAACTTGGAGCGCACTTTTCAAGTTCCATGTTTCGTCCTGGGGCAAAAAGACCTGGCAAAGATGAAATGTCATCAGCAATTTGAAGCTTTTGAAATGTGGAATCTGTGGATCTTGAACTAGCGATGCTGACTTTGACTGGTCGGTTTGAACCCGTCCCAGAAAGTGAGAGAATCCAATAGTGCAACTTCGGCGGAACAGCAACGTTTCAGAGCAGACCCGATTGAAGTACGCAGTCACACAGCTCAGCTCTCAATCCCAGCTGTGTTGATTGCCTGTATTGCTTGATGTTCTTGCTGCTGCTCTTGTTGTTCTTGCTGCTTTTGCTGCTGCTGCCGCCGTTGCCGCTGCTGCTGCTGGTACCAACTCTTGCTGCTACCACAGCTGCAATTAATTGCTGCTGCTATCAGTTGTCGCTGCTAGCAGTTGCTGCTGACGCTGCTTCTACTGGTAGTGGTGGTCGTTGTCGATGTCAGGTTGCGATCAGCTTTCTCAAATTTCAGGAAAAAACATTAATCCACCAAAGAAGCTGCTGATGGCAAGGTATATATCTCCTTGTGCTTTGCAATGTACGTCGGCCGTTTTGTTGGATGAGTGTGGAATTTTCTTGTTGAGGGTTTCACCCACACCGCCTCTGAGGAGACTTGAGAGATTCATTACAATATGAGTCTGCCAGCTGCCACAGTGGCTGCCAGGCTATCACGGACTGCATTATTTGGCGCCTCACTCCACCCAGCCTCAGGCAGGCTCGACTTGAGCGCTGCTGGTGCGTGTCGTGGAAGTTTACGTGTGCGCATCAGTGTGTCCACGGTACGTAGAATGATAGCCTAGAAGGGAGATGATGAAAAAGGAGGCCACTTTGTGGATGAGGGAAGCTGTATTTCATGCCTTAGTCTGGTGTCTTCGGACATGTTCAAGTGTTCAGGCATGAACACACTCGGTGCATTCCGGTGCGATCAGAAGAAAAGACGAGCTGTTCGACAAATTTGTCAAAGGGCTGTAAACAATGCTGACATGTTGAGACTTTCTCATACTCGGAGTCCAGGGCAAGTGATCGTAAGCACCTGACAAGCCAAGCGTCAGCTGATGTCAGCTGAGTCATTGCCATGAATTGCAGTTGCAAGAGTCCCATTTTGAAACCTGTGTCCAATGTGGCGAATCATTTGGAAGCCAATCGCTTTGAACCAAACCATGATGATTCGAGAACACGATCTGGCATCAACACTCGGAAGATTTCTTCGTGGCACTGGGGCCGGGCCTCAGGAAGCTGCAGAAGGCCTTTCCAGCGGAATGCCGCATCCTGGAGAAGGCTGGCGTGTCCATGTCCTGTGATCGGTGACATGGCCGTATGTCGTCCCTCCGCTCAAAGGGATGTTCACCCACCTCGCGGTCAAAAGGCGTTGCTGGGAGTTAACATCTAGGATCAATCATGATCAATCCTTCAACCGGGACCTGTGACAATTTGTAAGCCGGGATCCCTCAATGAGGCAGGCTTTGCCCATCGGACTGGGGGTGCTTGTAGTCTTGCATGCACGTTGCTTTTGTGAGTTCCTTCGCAGGCTGCAATGATCCTTGTCTACTGCTTTTGTGGCGATTGGGGTCCCTACTTGAGACTTGGTGCATATTGCGGAAACAAGTAAGGCCTCAAGGCCTTGTCAATTGACAACCCTGTATTTCCTGGTGCCAAGGCTAAAGATGCCTTTTGTTAAAGCGCAGCTCCAATTCAGCAGCACCCAGCAGATTTATTCCCGTTGCCTAAATCCAATGGACGTTCTACCTTCAACGCGTGACTGTCCCCGGCGTTGTTGAATTGCAGATTGCGGGCTTGAGCATGATACTTTAAGTATCATGCTCAAGCCCGCAATCTGCATTACGTACTTTGGAGCTCACCCAACCATGCGAGGGATGTCATTGCAGATCTGCGCAGAGCCTCCCACACTTTACAACACTCAGTCCTCCAGTGGTGCCCTATGCTTCCTTTTTGCTGGGTGCCCCATGTGCCCCACGTGCCCCCGTGGCATGAGTAGACCACAGTCCCCTTTGGATGGCATGCGTCCCCGCGGGACAGGTAGCGCTGCACCATGCGCAGATCCTGCAGCCTAAAGCCATGGCGCTTCATCAGGCGATTGGAGAGTCCAAGCCCAGTGGCGTGAGTGGCGGTTTTCGGTCTTCCGTTTGTTTGTTGTTGTTCTTGTTTGTTTTTTTTGGTCGGGCAGGATGGTGTTTATGCCATGTGTACTCAGGAGGCGATCTGACACTTGGGCGATTTGCGCCCAGCACCCATCTATGCTTCTCAGCTTCACAATGATATCAGCCTTTTTCGTGGGTTGGAATGTATGGGCACCAAGTGAATGGTCGACAACCCGCCGACCTCGACCAAGCCTTGCACACTGCGTTTTGTAGCCTTGCTCGATGATTCTGTGGATGCCCAACACGCGTTTCGACGCCTGGCCTATCACTGCCTATCACTTGGGGCAACTGCATGGGGCAGGCAGGCTTGTCAGACGCCGACGCCGCAGGCGCCGTTCTTCCAGGGCGCCTCCCGCGGTTTCCTGGAGGCCTTGCAGAAGGCGAGCACGCGATGGATCCTGGCCTCCGGCGAGGCACGTGCTCGTTGGGAGCCGGTGCCCGTGTTTAGAGGGAAACCGAAAAACCGAAGCCATTTTGGGGTACCCGCATTTGGAGAAAGCCTAAATGGAAAAATCAACATGCGACTTGAAGTCCATGACGTTCTTGAATGGTTGCTGCATGATACCTCCATTGATCAGGTTGAACTTGGAGAGATATGCCAAGAGGTGAGGAGTCGTTTGATTCGAGGCTTTTGGCTACGCTCACTTTATGACGGTCACAAACACGGGACATCAACTGCTTTAGGGTCAACCATGCATACATCCCTTGTCAGCACAAGTGGGACAGAGTGAAGTGTGTGGTGGCCATCATGCTCATAGCGAGCCATGTTATGGTTGCTCTTCTTGTTTCGTGTGTCATGACTAGTATTGTGTTCATGTCTATGCATTGTTTTGTTTGTGTGTATGTGTGTGTGTGTGTTATTTTTGTCGTTATTGTCTTTTGTCATTGTTGTTTGGTTGTTCTTGCTGTTCCTCTCTTTTTCATTGTTCCCATGGTTCCTGTTGGTGGTGTTGGTGTTTGCTCCTGTCGTTGTTGTTGAAGTTGTTGTTGGCATCAGCTCTTTCACGAGGCACAGGCTCGTTCATTTGTTGCGCTCGTCAGCATTCCACAACGAACTGGCAGCCAGCTGCCTGTTCACTTTGCACGCCGGTATGCTGGGTCATCCGAAGGTCGTCTACGAGAAGGGAAAGACCGATTTGACCCGGGACCTCTTTTGCGTGGCCCGGGGCACTGTTCGTGTGGTCGCCGCAAACGTGGATAGCGCCTTGGAGCGTCAATTGACAGTTTGGATGGGCTCAAGACTCCGTGTGGTTGGCGCACTGCTTGTATCAACCATTGACAGTCAGCTTTGCTCGAAAGAATACGTTTGAGTTGCTTGTGTAAACAGACTTGGGGGAAAGAAACTGAACTCCACCATGGTTTCGATGTTGATAGTCAGTGCTCCACTTTGAGATGGATCGACACCTAGACGTACTATTGTTACTGTCAGACGTATGAGCTTGCGTGGCGTTCGTTGTTTTGGATCAAGTAGCCATTTGACTGGATCAAGTTGGCCACAATCAAGCTTCTCGAGAAAGAGCCAAACTCCTCAACGAATGCCTGGCAAATTGTTTTGCTGTTCGGCTCACATTAGGTTGGGAAAATGTGTATGGGTGTGCGTGTGCGTGTGCGTGTGCGTGCGTGCGTTCGTGTGTCAAAGCCGGCGAAAACAGTACACGCTGCAAGATTTGTTGGTGGAAGTTCTTGGCAGTCGCATGAGGTGTAAGGTAGGCGGGAGGCGGAAACTGTGTTCCCGTTCCTTGCCCGAGGAAGCCGTCTCATGGCTGCGGCGGGCCGACAGACAAGGCCGGCCGCCTTAGAGATACCCAAAGAAAATAGCCTAGCTGGTCCAATGAAATTGGGTGCAATTTCAATGTGAGGATAGACGACTGATCAACTTTCCGGAAGTTTTACCCAGTTGGATACAGAGGTTGCACGGAGCATCTCGGAGCAGAGGGCTGTGTTTCTCTTATTTTCTGCTTAGAACCTGATGTAAAATGTCAGGCTCGAGACAGCCACATGTGATGATCAGATAAGGCCACCTGAAGCGCAAGTTGACGAATCTTAGGACGGGACAGTAGAGCTCAGATAAATACAATGTTGGGGAGCTTGCTGAAGTCGCGCAGCATCTTTTCTGACTTTACCTTTTGGACAAATCGCGCTATTCTGCAAGAGCAACTGGTGCTATCCACAAAGCAGTTGTCGTGACGCCAAGTTAGGACACGAGTGCCAAAAACATTGCAGAACATGCTTCAGGAAACTTCCGCTGCAAGTCCTACTGGAAGTTGCTTTCATGGGTGGCTTGTGAGGTATGCAAAGAGCGACGCGTATGGGAGACGTTTGTTTTTTGTGTCTGGATCGTGATCATTTGTGGTTGTTTGAAGATGGGCAGTGGCTAATGTACACTTTTGTTTGCTTCAGCATGAGCTGCTTGTTCCAATGTTCAGGCCAGCTGTTCGCGAGAGACACAGCGATTTGATTCTGGCTGGAGTCATTGAAGCTAATCTGGCACAATGTTGAGATGGGAATGACCAAGATGTAGCAATAGATACGCCAACGGCACTGACGTTTTGCCTACGCCCTCTGCTGTGTATCGAATCATCTTAGGCGAGCTGGCGTACAGGATGAGCTGCTGGGTGAAGGTATCTGGGCAGCAGCTGTTATTTACCCGCATAGTTACCTCTAAGCAGGGTCCACTTTAGGTAGTCCCTTAGAATATTGTGCGATTATGGTCAGGCAATTGGCGAGACTGGTATCAGTGCAGCTGCGGAAACGTTTCAGGATTTGCTCAATATAACTAAAGACTGCCCGAAACAGTTCTTTAGCTGCCTTTGATGTCCAAGATTGACATTCAACAGGATATCATCAATGTTGCTGATTTGTGGCAATTATAGGATTCTGGCTCTTACCGTTTGATTCCTGTCCACTGGCATGTTTGCTGATGTTAGACATCGGTCCAAATAGGACCCTTTCTGTTCAGAGCTGGCTCTGTGACTAGGCTAGGCTGTGAGCTTGTGGTGCATCAATGGATCGCCTGACATTTTCGGAGGAAGTGTTTGACACGCAGCCATTGGCGATTCTTGGAGCTTGCAAGGCGTGTTTTGCAGCGACGTCATATGGCCTGCCCAGCAAACGTCCATCAGCCTGAGCTAAGGAGCAGTCTTCGGGGAGAATCTTGCTCTTCAGCTGAGAAATACTCGAGCCATGTCTGTAGTGTCCGAGACAATTTGCGACCTCCACGTGATGCCAGGAGCATCTTTCAAGCAATGTTGTGTTCCGTCACGAGCTCAGCAAGAAATGTTGCCTGCTTGGATTGGGCATGGCCTACAAAAAGCTTTGCCAATGTGTGTTTATAGAATATGTGTCTGCGAATTTCACATGTTGGTGTGTGCTTGAGTTGGGCAGCCACAATGTATCTCATGTATGGATCCAGCATGGCCGGTACGACTCAACCAACAAACAGCAAGTCACCGCAAGAGAGACCCAGACAGCGAAGCCTCCTGCAGGAGAAGCGTTGAACGAGGCCTTGGCACAGTTTCCAGATGAGTTGAAGAGATTCTTAGACCTTCTGGAGGAGATCTCGAGCTGTCACATGACCTTTTGGGGTGTGGCACCCCTCACAACCACCCAGCGACCGCGCCCTGAAGAGCCTGTCAGCCTTCAAACATTGCCGTTCAGCGGTAGAGGTCTTGTAGCTGCAGTGTTCACCCACCAACATGTTTGGCACGTTGCGCTTGCTGCGGTTGCAATTGAGACATGCAGTGTAGTCTTTAAGCCCTCTCAGCGCGATGGATGTATACTGCAAGCCCAGTTTGGATGGGTACAATCTGCTTCGCACAAATCCGGTTGATTGGTTCGGTGACGGGGCGCAATCTTTGAGATACGCGCGTGCGGCTCATTGTAATTGAAACAATAGCATGTCGTGACTTGTGAGTCAGGTAGCAAGCGAAGCTGTCAGCCCGAACTTGAAGACATTGTTGAAGATAAGTTCAGCTATCACCTATATAAACAGGCAATTTTGCGATTTTGACGGAGTGCTGTTGCGATTAACGAGCTGTCGGGAATGTACAGGCCTGAGTGTGCGGTGGAGGGATTGCCGCGAGGTTCTAGGAAGATTTACTCGAGCAGGGGCTCTTGCTGGCGTTTCTTTGAACTTCTGAAAGGAACAGCGGCTGGATGTTTGGCTTGATAGGCTTGACAATTGCTCAGTGTCGCCTTTGGACTTCTCAAAGCAAGATACATTGGTGTCCACGTGGCATTGGCACTATACACCACCCTGCGACCAAGCAGCCTTCAGGTCTGTCAAGGATGCGTTCCGTTGACTTCAATCAAGTACCTCGTGGCATGCCTGCATCACGAGAAGACAATCGCATGCTATCACGCTTGTTTACCACTGGTTCATCCCGAATGGAAGAGGCGCTTCGCTGAGGGTTAATAATACAATACGAATTTGCTACTAAGTTATGTAACTACGACGGTTGGGAAGGAGTTTGATGATGATGTCACATTGAACAATGATGAGTTTTGCTATCCTAGGGAAGAAAGACGGTTCATGCCGCAGTGCTCTGCCCAATTGGTGCTGCTCAGGGGCGAGTGTTGGCACACCCGAGATGTACGGAGATTGGTAGGTAGGGATGCAGACAATATGTCTTAGTCGCTTGTCTTCGACACACCACTTTTTCATACGTGTGTTGAGGAACACACACACATTTAGTCATGCGTGGAGCAGTCACACCTGCAAGTTGGCAAACCACGCCCGTGTACAGTGATCCGCCTTTCAATCAACATATTAGGCTCGCTAAGTCTAGTTGTTCATCCTGTCTTCCAATGCACCGCCCCCACCCCCAAAAAAGAAAAAAGAAAGAACAACAAGCCAAATTCACGAAGAAACTATGCTCGCACATTCATGCTTCATTTGGCGCGGTGGTCAAATGTTAAACCGTTTCAAGTGGCCGGTTCCTTTCGCCTTCATTTTAGAATCTACCGCTGAGGCGGGAGCTCCTTAGTTCAAGCCAAATGGATATGTTTGTCTCAGAGCTGGGGACCCCCAAACATAGCTAGCTTCCTTTGGGCTTCCCTTTAGATACCAACCAAACGGGGTCCACCATGTTGAGACACTTCCACATTGGGCAAGTTGTTCTTCATAGCTGCATCCCACGGCAGCTTCCTCAGCTGCTTGCACACTGGGTGAGTGCAGGAGCGTGGCTATGGCGTGGTTTTTCCACAGGAGTGGACTGTCGTGCAGCTGCAGCATACTGCAACATACTGCAACCCTGTCGTGCTCGGTAAGGCCTTGGACCGTTAAAGTGTTGCAATTGCTGCCGTGGCCAGTCTTCCGCTTGACACCTGAGAGAAGTCCTATCTGGGTTGGAACAACTTATCGAGACACAAGGGTTGGGAAGTTGTCATGCAACCTAGCATGTCCAGTTGATAAAGGACTCAAAGAGGAAGTTGAGAGGCAGCAAGCTAGCAGTGAATGGTCCCGCACTAGAATTGCCTGCCTTTTGTTGTAATTGAGGGGTATCTAGACCTACTAGATGACCATTACCTTTGCTGGTCATGGAGGTCGGCCACAAAGGTGCCTGACTGAACACCACAAACGGGGTTTGTGAGTTGTAATTGCACACACACACACACACACACACGCGCGGGCATTAGATATGTCCGAGTGCCAGCAGGTATTGATCAACACCAAACTGAGTTTTAGAGTGCTGGAATCCCTATCCTCAGAAGAGAAGTCTTCTCATCGCACAGATACGTGTCACAGCCATGTCCTTTTCGGTCAGTTCATTTGAAATGGTTACAGGTTTCTGTTTGGTTCCAATCATTTGCCATTACTCGTTCAAAAGGACACCTTGGGGTTACCGCCACTCCGAGCACAAGGGCGTTTCTCAATATGGGGAATCCCGAAAGATGGGTTCTCTTTCGGTGTCCCTTACGAGTGCACATCCGGGGCCTCTATTTTGAGAAGCCCCAGCCTATCCCCAGGATATGGCGGAGATTGGGCGCCTGAGCAGATTCCCCCGCGACTTCCTGGAGCGCCTTAAGGAGAAGCTTGGCTGATTTTAGCCTTAAGAGGCTGCTTGGCCTTCTTTTTGCCTTCTTTTCGCCTTGCTCATGATGGAGTCCTTAAAGCGTGTTGAAGGCAAAGGGCACCCAGGTTGCTATCCGACACCTCACACGTTTTGCTTGGCGGGCCGTCGAGCTTACGTGGTCCTTGGGCCTGTGAGGGATGTTGCTGGGTCACCACAAGATGAAGCTGGATCTTTCAGAATGCTGCATAGTGGTTCTTGTCGGCGGATTTTGGCTTTTGGGGCCTTGACAATTGACCGTTCTGATCCTCGTTCTGCATGCGGGTGTGATCAATCCAATGCACCCACTTGAGCACCCACTTGGGCTGCCCCCTAATACGAAATGTTCAGTCTTCTGGCCAAGGCTTTGCCGACAGAAGGTCGCCTGCAGCGATCCCAGTTGCCAAAAATCAGAGCACTGGGACTTCAACCACTGAACCTGATGTCTGCGAGCCGCGCACGTGTCGGAACATGTTGTTGCCACTTGGCGAGCTGAGGCGGTTGCATGAAGCTTGCGCAAGAAGGTGAGAAGGTCCAGGCCATCCGCATCGTTTTTCGAGGCCCGCCGTACATGAATTGTCACACAAACAACCGGCAAAATGGGCGGCTTGCTCCCACTTGAGGAGCGGTCCACGAAGTCGCACACAAAAAGCACAAGCTTGATCAAGTGATGCCTGTGGTCAAAGTTGGTGTCCGTGACTTGCTATATTGGAATACTGCTTGCAATGGTTCCGTTGAGTTGCAGCTCAGGGCATTGGCTGATGTAACTGGGCTGATTGACTTTCATTGGAGCCATCCCATTTCAAGAAGAGCATGTTAAAACGGTTGAGGACCAGATTCCAGAGTTGCAGGGTTGCTGCCTTGAAGGCAAGGTCACTGCGGACAAAGAGGACGTGGACTTTCAGCCGCACGACATCAAGGCCTCTCCAAGGTCCAATTTGCAAGCTCAGACTGCGCGTGTCACTGTCATCCTGATTGAATTCCCTGTCAATTCTTACTTTCATGGCTGTGGAAAAGATGCCAATGAAGAAAACCAGAAACCGTGATCGGCATTGCTGGTTACACAGGGTTTTGGGTTCTGCATATGCGAATCATGAGCCCGGGTGGCCGGTTCAGTGTGGAAGATGCATGTCGCCATGTGAGCATAAATTGCGTGTGAGTGTGCAGAGCCATGGCTTGCCCTTTGAGCTCTGAGCAAAGGACTCCATTCCCAGGGTTCAAAACTGGAATCATAGCTAGAGTCTGTGTCTGATATGATGAAATTAACAGTTCCCGGCTGAGCAGCTGCATTCTTGTTCCGGCGCTCAGCTGCTCCGAGTCGTGGCTACATTTGTGGAACCCGTTCTCCCAATGAACCTAGTCGCCTGAACCATCCTACTGCACACAGTTATATATATATATTACTAATATATATATATATACATATGAGCAACCGTCAAAACTCACGTCAATGGAGATATGTATTCGGTGGACATCAGTTTTCCAAAAGTGCAAATTCCTGTGGGAAACGATGGGCACCTCCCAAAAACGATGCCCTTGTTTTGCATACATGAACTTTTGCAGAGTGAAGTTGCTTGCTTCGCTTTATCGTGGAGGTTCAAGCCGGAATGGAGACCCTCCAAACAACAGAAACCCATTACATCAGGACTTGGCAGCTTCTGGCTGAAGAGAAACCATTGTCGGTTGCCGCTGTTTGAAGCTCCGGGTGGCCATGCTTGAAGCAAAAAACATTTTTCAAAGAAGATGGGCGCCAAAGCGATGCCCAAAGCGATGCCCAAACGATGCCCTCAGCGATGCCCAAAGGTCACCAAGTTGAACAGTTGCCCATTTAGTTGCCAGACATGGAAGAAGCTGTCCGCAAGTATCAAAAAAGATTACAGAGGGCGCAGAAAGCAGCAGCGGAGAAGAAGGCAGTGCCTGCCTTTAACCAGCTCTGCGCCCTGTCTTCCAGACCCGTAATTGAGCATACGTAAGAGCGATGCCCTGGAACAACCAAACGTGGAAACATGTGTGAAGCGATGGGGACCTCCCAAATTTGCGGTGTCCATTGCGACGTACAAGGAGTTTAGACAGCCGCACATATATATATATATACACATCTTTTCCGGATGACTTCAACTTCTTTTGTAGGAAAGTCTCAGCTTCCTTGCCATTTCAGAGTGAAAGCCTGCATTTGAAGGTTTTGGCTCCAGATAGGATCGTTCTATGGTCTATGCAGAACTTCAGCTGCCACAATACGAACAGGGGATATCCAGGAGCTATTCAGAGCAGTTCTTCGCCTCTGGTTGCACGGAGTGTAAATGCTGAAGCTACATAGACCTGAATGGGTTCATGTTGTATCATATTGTGGTTCCCCTATTTGCGCTCGTCCTTCTCCATGAGCTTTGGGCTTTCTGATCTTCGAGCCTTTTCTTGCTTGGCACTTGGCAAGCTGTCAAGTCTTTGCCCGTCTTGTGTGCCCTCTCTCTCCCTACGCAATGACAACTGGCATACCCGGTGACAGGCCTTCATGAGATGGCCAATGTCTCGCATGTTGCTGTCGCAGCCGTCTCTTCTTGCCCGCCTGTTGCCTTGCCTTTTGGTAAGTCCCGATACGATATCCATGATAAGATGCACGTGCACCAGAAACACGTAAGCCACTAGGACACAGTGTAGCTATTGCAGAGAGGGGCGGACAGGGGTGCAGGACTTGGGGAAATGAAAGGAGATGGTGTGTGTTTGTGTGCGCATTCTGTTGGGAGATTGAGCAATTCCATGGTGGAAACAGTGGAAACGCAATGAAACGCATATCAGAAGTTTAATCAATCCGACATTGGGACAAGCTCTGGGCATTGGTTGGCTTTCAGCTGAGTGTCAAACATTGGCTATGAATGCCTCAAAGCACAGGTTTTGCGGTTGGGAACCGATCAGCTCCAGGCGCCGACCACCGTAGGCTCCTTTGCTGCTGTAGACCCTGATTGCCTATCTCCAGCCGGGGCTCACGGGGGCGGGCAACCCCCAAACTCGGACGGGGCAAGCTCTATGTTTGAAGCGATGTCAATTTGGTGCCCTCGGATTTCAAAAACAAGTACATCTAAGTATCGGCACAGGCACCGAACAACTTGTTGCATCATCAGCGCAATTGAGTTCTTGTCAGCCGGATTTCGTGCGAGTCAAGAGTCAACATGGCTGGCAGACAGCCCTTTTACGGGCTGGCTCAAGTCCTTCGGCGCTCGAAAGATCCTCCGGGAGCAAGGATGGGGCAACATCACTAGTTCAGACAGTCGGTTGAGATTCAGAGTTTAGCAGTGCTGAGCAGGTGCTCGTTTTTGCAGGTGCATCATCGCGGTGGCGTGCGTTTGACGTGTTAGCAGGCGTAGTACTTTGGCAGATGAGCCCCCAGTGAGAAATAGGCCTGGTAGAGGTGAGGATTCGTAACGTGTGACACAACTCACTCATTGGCCGGCAGTTGCCTTCCGAGGTGAGCCTTACAGCGAATAGCTTGTGCGGCTACTTTGAGGTGGATGTGGCCGAGGCGAGCTCGAGCCATGGCTTTTCGACGCCAGCAAACCCCATGCCATTTGATATCAAATCGACATGGAATCTAAACAGAGATCAAGGCACGAGCACAGGGGAACTTGCCAAGTGCTATGCTATGTCAGCTCTCTTGCGAGCGTGGACAAGTCTGGAATTGCGAATGCTTTCTGCGCCTGCAGTGAGGGCAATCTGAGCCACTCAGAAACACGCCTTGTGTCCGGTGAAAGCTTATTAAAGAGAGGATGGACACACACACACACACACACTCACATACGCACATACACTGGCGACATCGCATCAACTGTCAGCAGACCACTGTCCTTGCAATAGCAGCCCCTTTTTAGCATGCGATATTCAACACATGAGCGCGCGGAAGCAGCACGTGACTAGATAGCAACTCCCAGCACTTAGGCATGAAGCATGAACCAGTGACGCCAGACAACAAGCACATCGCTCAGCAGAATAGCCACTCACCCAGAGATCTATACTCTCCACCACATCTGCAGGCAGGGCTGAAAGCACTGCCACTTCGCAAGCTGAAAGACATGTTGAATCATGTAGTTATCATACAACAGGTTCCAAGGTTTGGCAAGGGACTGGCTTGCACTGCTGTATTCGCTCTTGCCACCGAATATGTCCTCAACTCAATCAGCTGGAACGTGTGCGCTTATGTCTACTTTGGGATTTGGAATGCATTTGGCTTGCGTGTTTGCTGTTTTATTATGCGTCTCACGGCTCGCTCGTGCTGCGGCCAGTTGCAGAACCTGCTTGAAGACTATCCAGCTCTGCGTGCCAGCTGGCAGCTAGTGGTGGACGAGGAGGGAAATCTGAGCAAACCCTGCAAGATGCCTGTCCCTCCAAAAAATGTGGACTCTGATGTCCTCGTCGACTAGGGCAGATCCAGCTTGGGCTTGATCGGTGTTTGACTTGGAAGTCTATGTCATATGCGAGTAGATCATCGTTTTCGAAGGATCCCATGCCGGTTGCCGTGATTGGCTCATTCCAAATTCAGGGTTTTGCCCACACAGCCTTCGTGCCGGGCAGGGCCTGTGTGAGTTGTTTGCACAATTCGGGCCGTTATCAGGCAGCATGATGACCCAGTTGCCCTTGTTGGAAGGGGGTATCTATTCAGGCAAACCATACAAAAGTGTGCCCCTGTATTTCCATTGCCTGAAGAAACATGCGTTTGGGAAACTGCTCGGCAGCTACGCAGTCCCAACAAGGTTAATCTGGAAACCTGACAGAAGCCATGAACCCGAATGCAGATGAATTGGCAACAACAGCTATCGCAGTTTCTTGTGCGACATTGCGGTAACATATTTGGCCAGCCTATGTGAGACGCATCTTGCGCGACGACAAGCCAAAGCAAGTCTGCAGGCAACACGCCAGTTTAGTACATGGCGTGTCAGATCGCAGCAATGATTGCGGTTGTAAGCTCCTTCGTTACCTTTCTGGAGCGTATTCTTGGTCTTTCCTTGCAAGGCTTTGCAACATCCTCCCTAGCTACCTGCCTATCTCTCCACCTGCCTATCTGTCGATGTACCTATCTGTCTACGCACCTACCAACTTCTGTACCGTCCTCTGCCTATCTCGCTATCTGCTATCCATCGGTTTGCACAGCTATCTCTCTAATGTTTCTTTCTATCCTACCCCGCCTAGTCTACGTATTTGTTTGCTATCTAACCTATCTATCTTCCTCATAGTTGTCCAATGCAAGCTCTCTATCTATGTTTCTATCCATATCGTACCTGCTTGTGTGTGTGTGTGTGTGTGTGTTTTTTTTGCCTGTCTATTAATCAATGTGTCCACCTGCTATCTCTCCATCCATCTATCTATATATTAATTCACTCAAGTTTGCATCATCGTGTTTGTCTAATTGTTATTGCTCTATGTGTCTGCCTATGTATATATATATATATAATTATATGTATTCCACATCTATCAACCAACCTACTTGCTATGTGTTCTCTATTTGTCCAGCCTAGCCAGTTGTTTACCTATCTAGTTGTCTATCTTTGCATGTGTCTATCTATCAGGACAGATTGGTTCGTTCCAAACGCGGTTCGTCCGAGCCCTTGTCAATCTATCTACCTATCCAACTATTCGTCTATCCACCCAAATCTGGCAATATCTTTCTAGCCATCCATCTATATCTCAATAATATGTATCTATTTGTCCATTCATCCAATGATTCAACCAACCCAGCAACCAACCATCCAACCTAACCAGAACCAAGCAACCAACCACCCAACCTAACCAGCACCAGGCAAGCAAGCAACTAACCAACCAACCAACCAACCGCCCGACAGACAGACAATCAATCCATTTGTCCATCCGTCCAGCCATCAATCAATCAATCAATCAACCAATCAATCAACCATTTAATTAACCAATCAATCAATCAATCAATCAATCAATCAATCAATCAATCAATCAATCAACCAACCAACCAACCAACCAACCAACCAAGCAACCAAGCAACCAAACAACCAAACAGCAATTAATCAAACAATCAATCAAAGCTCGGGCTTCGGCTTATCTAGCTGCGCGTCTCTTTGTCCCTATATTCACCGGAACTGAGAATGCGCAAAGGGCAGCCCTTACCACAAAATCTACACGCCGTGCTTCAATGTATTGCGCCCGCCACAAATTGGCTGTGCGACCATCCAAAGACTGCCTGCTATGAAATCAGCAATTCCATGCTGCAAAGCGTTGCGCTTGTCATGAAAAGTTAACTTTGCAACGAAGGAAAACGCGCCCAAACTGTCGTGCCTGCCACGCATTCCAACTATGACACGCTGACCGCCTTCGTCTAAAACAAAGGCTGGACTGCAGATCATTCTGGCTGACTTCAAGCCCAGCAAAAACAAGCCGATGTTACGACACGGCCAATCAAGGTGACACTCGAGCGAACTCTTGCAGACGCATTCCAAGCAAGACACTTTGTTGCGACCACCTCTATCACGCAAATTACAATGGCAGGGCGGCGCCAACGTGCAATCCTCCAAAACGCTGCGCATGCGAAGCGAAACAACTGGCTATTTCTCCAAGGCACAGGCGCATTTTGATACAATCCCCACTTAAGAAATGTCCTTGGCTTAACTAGACTGCATGCTTCGCTCTTGGCGAAATGCTGCAGCCAAGCGCTGCCAAGCGATGTGGCAAGCAGCCGCGTGCCCAGCGGTCGCACAAAGTTCTGTGGACCTTACCCCCTCACAAACGTTTCACGTCGCGGCCTGGAGGGAGATTTAGCAACGCAGTCCGAGCGAGACAACTGCAACAAGTAAAGGTAGTCATGCTGGCCAAGCCCCTGTCGCATATTGAATTGCGGGTATGCTCTGGCAAAGCTGGATGACGGAAGTTTCTGAAGGGTGATATGCCTATAGGAGGGGGAGCGGTTTGACCTTCTTTCTTTCTTGCTTTCTTTCTTTCTTTCTTTCTCACTTTCTATCTTTCCTTCTTTCTTTCTTTCTTCATTGCCATCTTTCTGTATTCCCTTCGTTCTTCCTTTATTCCTTTCCTTCTTCATGTCCTTCTTCCTTTCTTCTCTTTCTTTGATTGTCTCTTTCTTGCGTTCCACTCTCTCTATTTCTTTCCATTGGATCGATCTATCTATCTATCCATCTGCGCCCGACCTTACGAAAGTGCTGCGCCTGCCACGTAATCTGTACTTGACCCCGCGAAAGTGCTGCGCCCGCCACGAAATCTGCAATTGAGCTTGCGAAAGTGTTGCGCCTGCCACGAAATCTGCAATTGAGCTTGCGAAAGTGTTGCGCCTGCCACGAAATCTGCAATTGAGCTTGCAAAAGTGTTGCGCCTGCCACAAAATCTGCAATTGAGCTTGCGAAAGTGTTGCGCCTGCCACGAAATCGGGATGCAGCAGTTCGCGTGTCCACCCCAACACATTCTGAGGCTCCCCCAACGGCACGGCAACGTTTTCCACTCGCATCTGCTTGCGCGAAGGCTTGCGGGCGCTTGAGGACTCGACGACACATCTGGCAAACGCACGCTGACCCCTAGGCCCTTCTAAAACGGGAGCCTTTCTGCTACGCATCGGCGCACGCCATTCAGAAAGGCGAATCAGCAACGCGGGAACCCACTTCATTCGCCAATTCGTCATTTCTTTGCAATGATGTCGCGAACTCCGGTTCCACGACTTAGCTTGCCACCTGCTCAAAACGCAGCCCGGCGGGCTTTCAAGTAGACATACGCATGACATACGCTTGTCAGTTGTATGTCGGTTGTAGAACAAGATTAGCGGACAGTAGTGGGCCCTGGGAACAACACTTTCCCACTGGGGCTTGATATGCCAATTCAAATCTAAAGGGAAAAACACCACACTAAAATCAACTAGACATTCCCCTTTCTCACACGTTCAGGATTCGGGCCTTGATCGAAAACGCCAAGCCCTGGTGCTCCTGCCTGCCCCTTTGAAACATCAAGGGGCACGTCTTCGTTGATGCTTGCATTCTTTGTGGCAGAACTGATCAGCATTTACTTGTGCCAGTGGGACCGGTTTTGATGAGGAGTTCGTTGACATCAGTCGTTTGAGAGATGCTGCGGAAACCGGGGGCCAAATTGTCAGGAAGAGCTGGATGCCGCGCCCATGACAGATCCTCAGTCAGAGGGCTGGGGGTTGACTGTGAATTTGGTTTAGGTTGAGCCAAATGGATTAACGGGGTTGGCAACAATCCTGACATCAACAGGTTTCCGTTTGCCAGTTAGACAATTCGCAAAGGCTGCGACAGAGCCAAGAGTCTGAGTCCGCCACAGTAGCTGATTACCAATGCAGGATGTTTAGACCTGTCCCCGCCTGAAGAAATGAAACATCGCTTTTGCTGCCAGCTTTGGCTCGAGGGGAGGCGACGTGCTCAGGATTTCAAACCCTCACAAGGAGAGTACATTTCCGCTCCCTTTGCCATGCTCCTTCCTGTGGTCCTCCTTGCATTCATGTGCCTTTGTGGCAATGCTCAGTCCTCCAATGCCACATGTGCTGCCGGTGACTGCGATGAGCCCGCTTTGGTGCAGATGAGTCGAACCTCGAGCCATGAGGAGCTCCAGGGCCGGCGCCGGCGCCGGCGCCGCCGCCGCAGCAGGCGGCGCCGCCGCTCCGACGACTCATCCGACTCCAGGCGTCGCCGATCCAGCTACACGGGGACCATTCCCTACGTGTTACAGGCCTACTGTGGTGACAGCTGGTTGACAGATTGCTCCGATGTTCCCGATGGATGGCAGCAACACGTGGGGGCCTTTGATCCGGACATCACCACGGAACCACCGGAGGCGGATGGAACGGCCTCGGACAACTACATGACTTTCGGTGGTTCTGGGGTGGAAGGCACCCTTCCTAGTGCCAGCACGATCGAGGGGTGGTTCGATGACTCGAATACGGCGAATTTGGACTTTGACATGGAAGGTTCTTTAGCCGGTGCATTCTCCACGGTTGCTACTCTAACCGAGGAAATCCAGACCAGTTATCCTGATGCCAAGGCCCAAGTTACGTGCTTGGTGAGTACTTATGACTCGGCTGCGGAGTACAAGGATACATTTGACTACTTCGGCATCATGATTCATGGTGATTCCATGACATCTGGATCATATTCTATCCCAGAAGATGATCCCACAAGCGGTGGCACCTGGCCATACATCAAGGATTGGATTGATTCTGATATTGACAACAGCAAGATAGTCTTGTCCTTGACCACAACGGGACTTGAGGGATACATGGTGGATTGGTTCAAGCAGCTCATTGCAGAATATGGTCTTGCAGGCATGTCCTTCTGGTATTGGGACCAGCTGGACGACTCGATTTCAATTACTTGTATTGAGGATCAGGGCACCCAGTGTGACACATCGGACTCCTTCAAGTGCAGTGCGACCTGCAACGGAGGGAGCGCAGATGGATATTGCTGCGATACGGGTGACATGACAAGTGTTGGGAACTGCTCCACTTTGGGACAGGAGGGCTGCTGTGGAGGGACCGACTCAACGACGTACTGCCAGCTAGTGAGTTAGGTTGGCTGCCTTGCGCACGTCGTTAGTTGGCGGAGCACTTGGGGTAGACCAGGAGCTCGGATTTGAAGCGTCATCCTCAATAGTCTAATGTATAGACTATATATTGATAACTGCATGTGCACGACATGTCCAAACGATTGATGGAAGCTCAAAAAGAGCTCTTTTGACGAGAGATGCAAGCTTTGAGAGCTGCATGCTAAACACTCGTGCTCGTTTGGAGGAGTAAAAAGCCGCAATGAAACGATGCATGCCAGGCAGCCAAGACAGCAGTGGTGTTAGCCTCTTCCTCCAAGCCGTTGGCAAGACTGAAGACAAACCTCGGATTCTCCGGTTGCCCAAATGCTTGTAATTAATTGAAACAGATTCGGCTGCAAATGTTGCAGAATTCGCACTTCCGATGTTGGCTTTGCCGCCTTTGAATCAATAGTACGAAACTAGAGCCATGTGCAGCCATGGAAGGCCTAATCAAGATCCTCCTGGGATCTCGATCAGTCCCATTCAAGAAAACTGGTCGTGCGTCACCGCTCAGGGAGTCATCTTTGGGCGGCATCGGCAACCGGCGTGCCAGCCGCGTACTGGTGCTGCCGGACCGGGACTGCGGTACGGCTTCTTGAGTGATGAAGGATTCGCATGTTGCTCGATGAAGCAGCGATTCAGCCGATTCAAAATGTCAATGCTACTCACATGGTACCAGCAAACATGAAGGTTGAGGTGCTTGAGTGGCATTGCAATTGCACTGATGGATGCGAGCAGATGGGCAGCAACCATTGAGACTTGTGGCATCTTGACCTTTGCTGCTAGAGCCGTAAGCCATGCTTCTGGTCAGGAGGACATCGCGCAGACAGGCCAGTGCTGGGGCAGTCACCGGAAGATCGCTTCGTGACTTGATCCTCAGTTCACACTGTATACCTTTTTACTCTCGACAGCGGGAATTCTTGTCACTCGTATGCTCCTGAAAAACAAAACGATTCTGAAGCGGAGAGGATGAGGTTTCCTAAATTGCAAGTGCATTGTGAGCTGATGTGTTGGAAGGTTTGCGATTGATACTGCTGTGTCTTTCGTGGCTTCCTGTTCCAAAGAAAATGAGCCTGAATTTTCTTCTGGCTGCTTGGAAGCTGTTCCCAGTGATCAACGAGCTGCAAGTGACTCAAGCATGCAAGGTAAAAACTCTCCAGCCCTCAGAGTTCCACCCCGTCAAAATTAGCCGAGTGAGTTGCAAGTGGCCAGACGAAGACGAAGAACGGGTGATCAAGGACACGCTTGGAAAGAGGTTCGAGGCGCTCTCAAGGGTTGCACGGGGAGTCGTTTTGGCACTTGCACGCCTTGCTTGACTGAAGACAAGCAACTTGAGAGCAAACTGTCCGTTGCATGGATTTTTGAACGGAGCTTAGTGCGCATGCAGCAGGTGGACAGACGCACCTTGCCTGGCAATGCCCGCTCATTATGAAGCAACTTGACCCTCAGGTTCTTTGTGCCACATGTTCATCAATCTCCTCAATCACTCACATAAGCAAGGGATATTGACCAAACAAAGAAGATCGAGCAAAGCACCTCACTCAAGATGGTGCACGTGTTCCCTCTCCTTGTTTGATTCAATGAGCATTCGGCCATACAGTTGTGAAGTTCGGGGGTGCCGTTTCCTAATTAAGATTCCTGCCTGCCTCCGAACCCACTTCAAGGATCTTCACAGCATGTTGGTGCACGCGCGGAGTCCTTTCCGAAAGCAATATTTTTCGGATTTCTAGATTTCCTTCCGCCACCTCACCCCATGGAATCAAGTAGCAAGTTCAGCGCCCCTTGGGATGAGTGATTTGATCCCTACTTTGTCTTGTTTGCAAGATTCTGCAGAATCTTGCTCGTCAAGCAGTCTCACATACTCTCACCTTGTATGCACCCATGAAGTTCGGTTGAGGCGCACCCTTCTGCTGTACACGTGGCATTGATGCCGCACTTGTTAGGGCGCGAGCTGTCTCTTCGCTATTGTGTTTGTTTGATGTGTAGTCTTTGTGGGCATCATTGGTTTAGGCTAGTAATGTTATGTTGCTTCTTGTTGATTGATGTATCTCGGCTTTGGTGATGTGTGCGTGTTTGCGAACTGGGTTACTCCTGAATTATTTGTTTGTCATTGTTGGTTGTTACATTGTAGTTCTGAATCCTTGGTTGGTCGCCGGTTTGCTGTTTGTTGATGGTTTGTGGTTGCTTGGCTGGTGGCGGTTGGTCGAGGGTCAGCGGCTTGCCGGGTAAGTGCTTCGTCAGTTCGTTGATCAAGTTGGTTGGCCTATTTGCTTGTTTGGATTCCCCTTATTTGATTTGCTGAGCTTTGTTTCTGTTGCCCTGTCAATGTACCATGCGGGCGGAGGACTGCGGAAGGGTTTGCCTCGCAGAAGCTTCGCGGAATTTTGATGAGCTGAAGTGGCCGCGGAAGCAGCAGCAACCACCAGACATGCCCGCGGAAGCAGTTTTAGCAAACACACGTTTGCGGAAGCAATGGTTCACGCCGCGGAATTATGTGAGACAAAAAGGAGAATAAGAAACAAAGCTCAGTGGGTCCGGCAACAAAAATGTGTGACAACGCGACTGAGCTTGCCTTTTGGCTTATCGGCATGTCGGTTTGAGAAACTGCCAGGGCGCGGAAGAGGAGTTCCTCGATTGCTTGCGGGATATCCTCGAGAAGCGCAGCTTCACCGCGGAGGAGGTCACGCCGCGAAACCGGGGGGTGGCATCCGGTGGATGTGGGAGTCCAAAAGATCCTATATGACTGCGTCTTTTTTGGAGGGATGGCTGAAATGTAAAGGGAACCCAAAGGAAAACCATCCTGATTTTGAGAGAGACCGATAATGTAGAAGGGGAAGGGAATTTGGTCTTATGTGTTGCAAAGTGAAAGCTTCATTGGAGGTATTTTGCAATTTTGCTTTTATGAAGGCGATGGAAGTCACTGCGGTAATTTGTTTTTCGCGAAGATGATATTTCCCGGAACAAGGAGTTTCAGTCAACTCGCCATGTTTTGGCGACGTCGCACGGGGGATCATCCCACAGTCATCACTTCCCTGGTTCTTTGTGGGGTATGTGGTGATCCGTGAAAAGATATCAATATGAGTCACTGAAAATGATAAAATACTGAAAGTCCAGAGTTTGCTGGCGGTTTGCGGACCCAACAGCACGCACATGAGAGGGGGCCTTCCACCTAATTGTCCCATGTCCAGGGGAAACAAGTAAGTCAGTCCGCTCGCATATTTGCGAGTAAATCTGTTGTTCGCTGTCTTCAAATTTAGCTAAGCAGGTATGGTTGATTCATGTAGATTAGACAGGTGGCTTGCGCACTACCCAGTCGCAAGCTTGAATAATTTTCGAAATGTCCTCGACTCTGGCAATGTTACAGTCTGGAAACATGTTTTGTTGCCAGGAACCAGCAGCTTCGATGTGAAGGCAGAACAATCTGACATGCATATATCCTATTGCAGGCTGTAGAGATTTGACTATAGGGCAGGCTGTATAATTTTGACTATATATGTTTGCAGCAGGTTCCTCCGCTTTGCTTTGCTTGAGCAGACAGGCCTGTAGTCAGTGTTTAAACTACTTGTGCAGCAGACTTAAGCAGAGATTCGCAGGCTTGCAGTCCATCATGTGCTCTATGCTACCAGTGAGGTATGAACGCATTTCCTCTGGTTTTGGCCAGAGAGCAAGGCCATTGCGCAATTGCAAAAAAAAACAAGCATTCCAGCAGAATTATGAAAATGTATCACAATGTAGACACGCAAACTGGACCAACACAAGGAACATAGGCGCGCTTTGCACAAAGAGAACTGGAAGGCAGGTGGCCAGAGAACATAACTCAATTTGTGTTAGGCAAGATTATCTCCGCAGAGCACATTGGCCGCGTGTTTGTTCCACTGGATAAGCTGAGTCTTTGTGCAACTTCTTTAATCGCCCAGGCAAGCTTTCTCCCAAATCTTGCCTCCAGGAGCAAGCCGTGAAATCAGTTTAAGACTAGAGTGTATGAAACGCTGTTACTCTGGTTTGGGACAGAAAGCAGTTCCGTGCAACAATGAGAGAAAACAAGCGTTCCAAGCAAGATGCAGACATACAAGACCCAGGGAAATTACAGAAACGGGACCAACAAAGGAAAGGAAAAAAAGGATTTGTCCTTCATTCAAGAAACACAATTGCCCAAAAGTATGTGTGCATAATCCTGACTCCAGAAACGGAAGGATATGCCGCGTGGCCCCTGCACGGTGCTCTGCTTTCTGCGTGCTCTCCTGCAATCAAATGCGCACGGAGCCGATGCGAGGAGAGGCCCTGAAAAGGTCCCCTGGAAGAGAGCCTGCCGGTGGCATCCCTCCCCTCCTGAGTGACCCTTTCCTGTCATTTGGCAACATACAGAGAAATGGGGGGCGCCGGGGAAAGAGGGAGGGTACCATTTTCGTTTGCGAATTGTGTAGTCCCACCGATAAAACGGTGAGTATGGCTTATTTGAGGCCTGGGGCACTGGTCCTTTGAGCGGCAGGTCATCTTGGCCCAAGGGGACGATGGCACCTTCGCCATCCTCATTGCTTCTGGCTGCTGCACTGTGGAGGCGGGCCGTCGAGTAGGCACTTGACACGATTTCCGGCTCAACCTTCCAACCCATCATTTCCTACAGAAAATGGTGCCAAGCCACATGGAGTTGATTGTGTTTAGCGGAGGCATCGGAATGCCAAATGAGGGGCTCTTGTGGGCGGGTATTGAAAGGACGTCAGAAACTAGACATGGAACCAATCTTTTGGAAGGAGTTCCTTTTTCGAAAGTGTGGCTGTGACTCAGAAAAGTTGGTATCACCTCAAAATTATGTTTGGGGACGGGTCCCAACATGGCAAACCGGTCAGTCTGTGATTTTGAGGCCTAGTTGCGGCCATCCGCTTTTTCAGCCCTTTGAGCCAAAACTGAATGCTGGACCAAGGTTATTTCTTATTTGCCCAAAGAAATGTGGAATCATGTAAGTGGTTCGTCCTTCAATGGGGGTTGTGCAATTACCACACGTTCCAAATTGAGCCAGTGTCATCATGTTGTAATTCCAACAGGACACTAACCGCTTGCTTTGTTTAGCAGGTTTGCCTGCTGAAGAGATAAACACCAGCCTTGTTGGGTCTGAGTCTGTGCTTCATTCTTTGAGTCCTTCTCCATTGTTATGGTGCGGTGCCGTTCCGTTTCCGGAAGCAATGCGGGCTTGACCACTCCAACAACCTGGGACTCTCGCTCAGCAGTCATGATCACGATCTGTGGTATCACTGTCACTGCCCCTTAAGCTTACGACTGTGCGCATCAGGTTGACTTTCCCTATACAGCTCCAGAATAGTGTTGCCCGTTCTTGCATTTGCAGTTAAGGTTTCAATGCACAGTTTTGCCATGCGGTGAGCGAAGGGCGTCCGCTTGAAATGTCTCGGCAAGGCATGAGATTGTGCCTATTGTGTATAGAAGAACCATGATGAAGCAGCTGTGTTGTCATTGTGATACGAGTCAAGAAGAAGATAGCATCAAAGCACGGTTTCGAAACGATGGATTTACAACTTCAGTTGTTTGAGAGCAAGAGTCCGTGTGTGAGTGTTATGTGAGTGTGGGTGAGTGTTGTTGTTCCCCAGATAGCTGAAAGCTATAGGGGTTCTAACTTCTAATAAAGAAGGGAAAGTGATTTGCGAGATTGAGGGCCGGGTGCCGGGGGACATGCAGTTTGGGGTGCTGTGGAGGTGCTGTTTTGCAAGCTTGACGGCCGGGTGCTAGGGGGCATGCAGTTTGCAGTACTGGTGGAGGTGCTGCTTTGCGAGATTGACGGCCGGGTGCCAGGGGGCATGCAGTTTGGGGAGTTGGTGGAGGTGCTGTTTTGCGAGATTGACGGCCAAGTGCTAGGGGGCATGTAGTTTGGAGTGCTGGTGGAGGTGCTGTTTTGCGAGATTGACGGCGGGTTGCTAATAAGCATGCAGCTTCGGGCTGGTGGAGGCCGCTTTGCGAGATAGGGGGGCATGTAGGTGCTGTTTTGCGAGATTGACGGCCGGGAGTTAGGGGTCATGCAGTTTCGGGTGCTGGTGGAGGTGGCGCTTTGCGAGATAGGGGGCATGTAGTTTGGAGTGCTGGCGGAGGTGCTGTTTTGCGAGATTGACGGCCGGGAGCTAGGGGGCATGCAGTTTCGGGTGCTGGTGGAGGTGCCGCTTTGCGAGATAGGGGGCATGTAGTTTGGAGTGTTGGTGGAGGTGCTGTTTTGCGAGATTGACGGAGGTGCTGTTTCGGGTGCTGGTGGAGGTGCCGCTTTGCAAAACTGACGGCCGGGCTAGGGGGCGTGCAGTGTGGGGTGGCGGCGCAGGTGCTGTTTGGTGTTGCTGTTGGAGGTGCTGCTGACCACGTGGCCTTATTTCCCGGATAACTGGAAACCATAGACTTCTACTGAGTGCTGTTCAGTTCAGGTGACAGTACGTGACGGCAGGGTGTTCGGGGACGTGTCCGGTGCTGGCGCGGGTGCTGCGTTGGGGTGCTCTTGGGGCTGGTGCGAGCGCATATGGATGGCAGGGTGCTAGGGCGGGTGCTGTTTGGGGTATCGTGGTTGTCGCAGCATCATGATGCTGGCCGCAGCATCATGATGCTGTCAGCAGCACCATGATGATCTTGAACCGATTCGGACGTTGTTGCTGCTCTAACTCTCGCGCGTAATGATGGTTCGTGGCTTGTGTATCATCATGTGTTGTCAACCAAGTTATGATGCTGCTGCAATCGCTGCGGTGCCGCGTTATGGTTCGTGGGTGTGGTGGCGGGCATAATGCTGTCAACATCAGGGTGGTGCTGAATTTCATTACACTGTCGCAAGATGATTCGTGGCTGTGGTGTCATCAGAAGGCTGCTTTTTTTTCCGGCACCATGATGCTGTGAACATCACCATGATGCTGTCCGCATCATCATGATGCTGTTGAGCTCATCATGACGTCGTCTCTGCCTTTTTTCTGCTAGATATGTAGGCGGCATCGTTCGTGGCTGGGTCAACATCATCGTTTTGCTGATGGACTCACTAGGACGTTGTCTGCACGTCTATGTAGCGCACTATGCTAAACAGCTGTGCTATTTTCCATGATGCTGTCAACATCGTCAAGATGCTGTCAACATCATCATCATGCCGCGGGAACCATTATGATGCTGCGTCATGGTTCGTAGCCGTGGTGTGCTATCTGGGGTCTATGCTGGTGTAATTGTTGTTTGTTTTTGTGTGTGTTTGTTCCCCAGATAGCTGAAAGCTATAGGGGTTCTAACTTCTAATAAAGAAGGGAAAGTGATTTGCGAGATTGACGGCTGGGTGCTAGGGGCATGCAGTTTGGGGTGCTGGTGTAGGTGCTGTTTTGGGTGCTTAATAGGACGGGTGCGTTTTATTTGGATTGACGGCAGGTGATTGGGCATGCAGTTTGGGTGCTGGTGCAGGTGCTGTTTGGGGGTGTGCAGGTGACGGTGCAGGCGGACTTTTGCAAGATTGACGGTAGGGTGCTAGGGGGCATGCAGTCTGGGGTGCTGGCGCAGGTGCTGCTTTGGGATGAGGTGCTGGTGATGGTGCGGGTGCATATTTGCAAGATTGACGGTCGAGTGGTTTGGGGGTGCTGTTTGGGGGTGCTGTGCGGGGTGATAGTGCGGATGGTGTTGAGGCGCTGGTGCAGGCGTGGCGTTTTGCGAGATTGACGGCTGGTGCAGGTGCTGTTGTTGGGGTCCTGGTGACGGCCATGTCTTTTTGCGAGATTGACGGCAGGGTGCTAGGGAGCATGCAATTTGGATTCTTGTGCAGGTGCTACAATATTTTTGGGATGCTGTTTGGGGTGTTGGTTGAGGAGCTCTTCAGGTGCTGGCGTGCAATCGTGGCACGTGTTTCGCTATCTGGGGTCTATGGTGGTGTAATATATAAAATATATACATATATTGTGCGTGCGTGCCCCTTATACATCCCGGAGCGGACCTCAGATTGACTAGTTGAGCCAGTTGTGATGCATGACACGCAGGAATAGTGGCACGCGACCTGGGGGGAGGTGTGGTTTACAATACTGCGTGACTTCAAACAGTTTCAGGCACGATTTTATAGGCCAAGTGCGGGTGCTTTGCCCTCAACAGGAACGAGCACAACCTGAGATGACATTTGCGCAAAGCTGGCGACTGGAAATGCCCAGGTGAACGGGACCAAAGTGGGCGAGGTGAAGGCCCTGTCCGGGATGCACGTTGGCATGCATGAGCATTCGAGGGTGCCTGCGTTTCCCGCTTCAGCTGGTTTGCGGCAGGACCTGTTGGCCGAACCGAAAGACTTCTTTTGAGTGGGGTGATGTTTCAAGGTGAGGTTCAGCGAATTCAGGCGGCAGGTCAGGCAGTGATTGCCACACATTCTCAAATGACAGAACCGAAGCAAGGCATCAAGTTGCGAGTGCACGCTGCGAGCTTTTTTTGCAGGCGCTTGAGCATACAGTGTTTACTGTTTGACCAACCCGTGTTTCCAAAGGCGTTTGCTGTGACCAACCCTTTTTTCCAGGCGCATTGCGACACATTGCCATTTGGGCAGCAAACAACACCTGGAAGAGAACAGGACTTCAGCTCAGTGATCGACTTAGTTGCTCCTTTAGCTCTTGTGTTGATTTCTCTTGCATGGTCCATGTCAGTCACAGCGCCAAATTAAAATTACTTCTTTCCAAAGGTCTTCTGAACAGATGAGATAGTTGCACGGACACATTTATCCTAATGGCTGCAATACTTGCTTACGAAAGATTTTAAAAGACACAGCAGGGGCACAGCGTTGGGCACAACTGGCAATCTTCAAGCGACGAATAAGTTAAGGCGTCCCAGCACTGGTAGCTCGAATCAAGCCCGAGCTTTGCTCGACTCGGTCATTGTGCTCTTGGAAATGTGTTGATCAACCGTGGCTTGGCAAGGTTGTGCTTCCTTGATTCCAGCTGCTGATTTTCACCACAAGTTTAGACTGTGATTGATTGAGTTGTCCCGGACGCGTTGAGTCGTATTCCATGCCCTTGTCCAATCTTGTTGGGCCTAAACACTTTCTGTTGCCTGGCTCAGCCTGTAGACCTTTGCATGGATGAGTTGGGCGAATACGCAGCCGGAAGCAGCGGCCTAGACCAAATCAAGGCGGGCGAATGGCCTTTGGTCCTGCATTGGTTGCATCAAAGCCGCAGGAGCAATGGGATTCAATCAATGCACAGCTCTTTTTGAGTTCTTCGCGTGGGCCCTGATATCATGGCCCAAACCAAGACCGAGGGCCCCGTGATTTGATAGGCTTCCGCTTCCTCGCAGGACAGCGCTGGAATCGAGCCAGTGGGCCTTCAGCAGGGCCATTGGCAGCTGCAAGTTGAGCACCTCGCCGGAAACGGGAACTGTTTGATTGCTGGGCGCGGTTGAAGCAAGTCAGACCCAAAAGAATGGAAAGTGGTTTGCGGGAATAAGGGGTGTTCTTGAATGTTTGTTGCCTTGAGAGAGAGCGGGCCATCCTTTTGAAATGAATTTGCCACAACGGGCCACGGAAGGGCTTTGGAATGAGCAGGATGGCTGTTGCTGAGAAAGTTGGCAAGCCTTCCCTTGCGGGACCCGGCGGGCGGAGCACTACGGTTCGATGTATATCCGGTCCTGCGTACCATGCTTAAAAGGGCTTGGCTATTGGGAGCAGAGATGGACGTTGATCCTGCCAAAAGGGTTTGTGAAGATCACTCATGGCCCATCACCATCCCTCACGCAAGGTGCAAAGCGTATTCGATGTGTTCCAGGCATTTTGTAGATCATGTTGCAAGATGGAATGTATTGAAACGCGTCGCAGCTGACCCGAGGTGCTTGGAGACAGAGTGTCATGATGCTTTGCACCCTTCAAGCCGACATGCTGACTCCAGATACGGTAACATATGGTGCCGGAATCAACGTTTTTGGGGGTGCCACGCAGTGGCAACACGCCCTTTACAGCTTGCTCGAGATGGAGAGGCAGCCTCGTGTTGCAGACCTGATAGCTTACAACCAGGCTATCAGTGCTTGCAGGAGGGTTTCGCGGTGGCAGCTATGTCTGCATATACTCAGCAGTATTCGTGATTGCATGTTGAAGCCTGATGTCATCTCCTACAGCACAGTCATCAGTGCCTGCGAGAGAGCATCAGAGTGGCAGCAGTCTTTGCAGCTTTTGAACAGGATGCGTGACACATTGGTGAAGGCAGGTTTTTGCAAAAATGGGTCACAATGCAATCTGACAGTCCCTTGCCAGTGAGAGTGTCATGGATTGTCCTGCGATAGTTGTACCCAACAGTACCGGTTGCAAGAGTCGGTGCAGGCGAATGTCATCACCTACAACGCCGCCATAAGTACTTGTGGTAAGGCTTCGCAGTGGGAATGTGCTCTAAGCATGCTGCGCGACATCATTGCTGAAGGAGTGCAGGCCGGCCGCTGTGTTAATATGTCACCAGCGGTCAATACTCACCGTCATTTACCGCAATCATGGGAATGACATGGGGCACACTCACCAAGATTTCACTAGGACATGAGGGTTACTCTCCAACATCCCATGTGATTGGGGGACACAATGAACACTGACCGTGGCTCATAAAGCTTAAATTGGCTTGGCTGAGCCAATTTGCCGTCTTCAGCACTGAGCTGTTCGATGCGGGTTTCAGGGCCACCATACAGGAGCACTTCAGTACCGACTTCTGCTCCAGGTTTTGGGAGGAAAAAACATAGCAACATAGTTGGAAATGTTCAAGCAACAAGCATAGGATGCATTCCGAGTGACCTGCGCCACTGCTTTTGTTTTGATTTGCAAACTTCGCTGTGTGACTTGGTCTGTCTTTCAACAAGACGTCGCTCCTTTACAATGTTTCAGCACACAACGTGTGCTCTCGTGAGCACGTCCGTCTCATGGCGCGTGAGTGCAGCGGCCACACTCTTTCACATGTTGCCAGTGCACCCAGCAACAGCACCAGATTAGAATGTCCTCGCTTATGGGCAACATGCACGACTCAAGTTCCTTGATTGCTGGCCGAGAATTCGCGAGAACAGACATGCAAATTGAGCGGATAGCTGGCAGGTTGATGCGATCTCTTTTGGCTCTGCCATCAGTGCTTGTGAAAAGGCCGGGCAATGGCAGGCAGCGCTGCTTTTGCTTGGCCAGCTTGACGAAGACGGACTGAGGAGCGACCTGATTGTGGTGAATGCCGCCATAAGCGCCTGCGAGAAGGGTGCACGGTGGCAGCTTGCCCTGTTTTTGTTGAATCAGGCTGGGAACCCAGAAAGCATGCAGCATGCTCTTGGAACTTGGATGTACATGCGAAGCGGTGAGATTGAGCCCTGCAGGTTGATTCCAGAGAACTAGAACCAGATGTGATCACGTATAGTGCCACTATCAGTGCCTGTGAGAAGTCTGACCAGTGGCAGCAAGCGCTTGGCCTGCTGGCGGTCATCGATGCGCGCAGTTTACAGGTTGCCGTTGTCCCAACACAAGAAAACTGAGTATTGATGCCGAAATGTAGTTCCTGGGATTCCCGTAAAGCCTCCAATCTGGCTAACCCTTGCCAGGGTTCAACACAAGACTTGAAGCTTGATGTGTGACTAGAAGTTGATGGACAATTTACAGCATTAATTCATTGCAAGCCTTTTGCTTACGTGTTCTTGTTGGTGTTTGTGTTTGTACTCGTAGTGCCTGATCAAGCTGTTTGATTATGTTGCAACTTGACACGTGACATGGGGTTCAGCAACTGGCGAGCAGGGCTTGCTGTGAAACGCAACACTTCAAGGATGTCGTCGTTTCGTGGGCGAGCGGCAATCGTTGCACCGTGCCAGACAGGTTAATGTCATCACCTACAGCGCCCTTATCATTGCCTGCGACAAAGCTGGGGAATGGCAACATGCCCTGCTCCTTTTGGGTGAGCTTTTCAGCCGCAGCCTGCAGGCCAAGTCGACGCCACATAGTGTGTTCACGCATCACGGAAGTTGGTCAGTCTAGAGCAATATGCTAAGAGTTTCCATGTTGCAGGACGCAATTTCGGAAAAACAGCACGCAAATTTACTTCTTTTGCCGGTGTTCTTGTCCCAGTTCTAAGCCCTTTTCGCATCTATTTCCATGTCTTCCTGCCTGGTTTTGCCGTTCTTTGTTCCTTTCGTGCTAGTGGGGTTTTGCTTGGTTGCTTGCTTGTTAGCGTGCTTGTTTTTTTTGGGTTGCCTGCTTGACTGCTTGCATTGCAGTGCCCGTGCTGGCATGCTTGAATTGTCTTTGCTGCATTGTTTGTCGGCGAGGCTTCTGAATGGGGGTTACCTTCAGAGCCCTTGGAGCCCAAATGTCCTCCTCCAAATCAGAACAAGACAGTCCTTGATCAACAAAATGCCCTGCGAATAGAAAATACAACGTCCGCGTCAAGTCCCTTTGGGCAGCGACCAATTGAGCAGCGTGTTTTTTGTTTTTTTTGCAGGAGCCAAAAGGAGAGGGGAACTGGCATGGTGGCCGCGTACGTAGCCTACTCCTGGGACCGTGTAGCCTCGCGTAGCCTCCGCATAGCCACTAGCAAAGGGAGCTGTCGATAATCGTCCGCGTAGCCTCTGCCTAGATCCTTTGTCTTGAGCTAAAGGCTTAGGTTGAAAGCTTGCAGGTCTCAGCGAAAGAGGGTTAATTTCATTTGCCTTGGCTCAGAACTGAGTTCGCTCATTCCGCGTAGCCTCAGCGTAGCCTGCGCGTAGCCTCCGCGTAGCCTCCGCGTAGCCTCCAAGGCGTATTCAAGGCCACTGGCCCACATGCCTCCTACTACTACTATTGCCATTACTACCACTACTACCACCACCACCACCACCACCACCACTACTACTACTACTTTTAGTTCTACCACTACCACTACCACTTCCACTACTACTACTACTACTACTACTACTACTACTACTACTACTACTACCTACTAGTACTGCTACTACTGCTGCTACCACTACCACTATTACTACTGCTACTACTGCTACCACTACCACTACGGCAACAATCACTCCTACTACTACTACTACTACTACTACTACTACTACTACTACTACTACTACTACTACTACTACTACTACTTTTGGTTCTACTTCTACCACTAGTACCACTACTACTAGTACTACTACTACTACTACTACTAGTACTACTACTACTACTACTACTACTACTACTACTACTACTACTACTACTACTACTACTACTACTACTACTACTACTACCTACTAGTACTAGTACTAGTACTACTACTACTACTACTACTACTACTACTACTACTACTACTACTACTACTACTACTACTACTACTATTACTTCGGTTGCCAACGCATATTCGCGTAGCCCCGGCGTAGCCCCCCCGCATAGCCACTTATCAACAAATATGTTCCGCGTAGCCTCCGAATAGCCAAATTCCCAGGGGGAAAGACAGCCGCGTAGCCTCCGCGTAGGTATGTGCTTCCAGTGTATAGGCCCCACACCATTGAAAAAAACACGGTTCAATTGTGTCAATAATTGGGGCCACAAACAAAACGTGGAAAATCGGCAGTCACCTCCATGAAAAAGTTCCACTTGCAAGTTTGGCCAGGTCTAGGCTACATCTCCGTTCTCTACGCCCACGCTCAATGTATAGCCTTGCCCTGATGGTGTTACATGGATTGAGTGGACCGTAAACTCTTTAGTGCCAGTTCTTGAGTGTGACTCAATCGAAGATGAGGGTGCGGCACAGGCAGATCTCATCATCTACAACTCTGCCATCAGCGCCCCAGCTAAGTCCCAGAGTTCATCTGCGTGTTGCTTGTTTTTGAAGCTCGCATGCCAAGCATTGGAGTATGTAGCACTTTGAGATGTTCTGTGCTGTCTGTTGCGCTGCGTTTGTTCAAGCTGACTACATGTTCAGGTTGGCCTCAATTGGAAGTTTGGATTCATGGTTTTGGGATACAGGAACCCCTTCTTGTAGAGGGTAAATGGGAAACCACCTAACTTCCACGCCACCACTCCAAACCACCAACCAAGGGGAAGCTGATAGGTTGCTTAGGGAAGCACCACCAGGTGCCTGTGCGCAAGCGGCCCAGACCCGAGCAGCGCTCATGCTGCTGGAGGAGCTGTTGGCCATCCAGCCGCTTGGCTCGGGCCTGTTCCACATTGTTCCACCCTCGCGGTGAACACGTCGCAGAGAGTTCCCTTAGGATGATTCCAGGCGTTCTCTTCGTTTGCCATGGGAGGGTGGCGCAGTTGCTGCTGTGCATGCCAAACGGACATGAGTACCGTACCAGCTTGACGGTTTGCCAACCGCTGATGACCTTTGGTTACAGCGAAGTTGGAACAACTTCATGTATGAACCGCGCGGTTCTGTTGTAAAACCAGACGTCACCTGGTTCTGCGTGTTCAACGAATTGCAGCAAAACAACGGAATTTCTCCGGATATTATTGTAAGCATTCCAAGTTGGAGCTATGTCTATCTGGATCCCAGGGACTGAAGTTCTGTCCTATCGGTTTGCAGGCTCAACATGAGACTACGAAGCACTAAATCTAATCGTCCTCGAAGTACTGGCCATCAATGTGTGTATTCATTTCGCCTGGATGGGATGCACCCTTAATAATTAAGCATTGCGCGAAAGTAGCTCGGTAGCTCTCAATTCGTTCGATGTTCCTGTTCAGCACCATCCATCCTCCTGGAGACTAGTGTAGAAGTAGGTTTGCTGCCCCCTTCTTTCGAAGGCTCCGCTTGTTGTACGCTTGGCTCTGCATGAATGGGTGATGACAATTGCCACCGCCCCATTTGGCAGCCATCAGTCAGGCAGCCTAGATGGAAGCCTGCTAAGTTCATTCCTGGATGTTTTTAAAAGGAGGGCCGGTCTTTGCAAGTCCCTTGGCCCCTTGGCAATAGGAAATCAGTGAATATCACAACTGACCAGAACAAAACCAACCAGGCATCACCTGCAAAGATGACCGGATATTTTTTTGAATAGAGAGCTTTTGCAGCTAGGCGTTTCTGAAAGAACTTGACGGGACACCAGTTGTTGGTTCCAGAATTTGAATGATTCAAAAGCCAAGCCGTCGAGAGCAACGCTGCGGAAAACTCCAACAGGATATCATCTCGCAGATGAAGACCCCCCCATCTCAAAGCACCCACTTGTTCCCCGCGCCTCAGGTTGCAGCCAGCCTTGATCACCTACAATTCCGCCATCAGCGCCTGCGATGCCGCGGAGTGGCCGAGGGTTTTGAAGCTGTTGGAGGAGCTTCCACAGCGAAAGTTGCAGCCAGACGTCATCACCTTCAGCGCGGCTCGGCAGAGCAAAGGGACCACTCACAATCCAAACTCATTATGAGGTGGGCCAAGCAAGTTGCTTCGCCGCGCAACTCAAATTGACGTGTACCCCTACTGGATATACCCCATACACAGTTGCTATAGCCTTGCCAAAAGGTGGATACGGATATCTGGTAAATTGGGGTCTTATCCCAGGGGCACACACTCAGCAAGACAAACCCTTGAAAGGGATGCCATGCTTTGTAGGTCACCAGCCCAGCAGTTTCCAGGAATTTTCTGGGTTTCGGTTGATTTGCCTGGTTGCAGGCTGCAGGTGGCTCGCTTGGCTTGCAGAGTATGCGGTCCTTGAGTTCTACATTTGCTTTGCCACAAGCTGTACTGTCGAAGCTGCAAGCAGCCCGACACGTGGCACGTCCGCGGGCGTTGTTTGACACTGCTTAGGGATGCCCGGTGTACCCGAGGCCACCCAAACATGCTGGCTCCAGTCCTCGGGTATGAGACGGTTTAAAGTGCGATGTCAGCATCAGCTGAGAAGGTTGGATTTTGTTCAACAATATTGTTTTGAAACTCTCTTACTCCCCCAAATTACAAATAAACACGCAACCCAAAAGGGTCCAAAAGGAGTTCCTCTGCAAATGGCGATTTTCGGGATTTCCTGTAAATCTGAAGCAAAGTATTGTAGAAAGGCCCAAAGATGAAGGCTGAAGCTACTGTAAGCCTGTGGCCAGAGGCGGCAATCAGCGCCTGTGGCGTTGCTCAATGGCCGTTGGCTTTAAGCTTCCTGCAAGAGCTGCATTTGCGGCGTATCCAGGCGGTCCGGAGGTTGCACGGGAGGGGAGTACGGTGGCTGCCTCCGGCTTTGTGAAGACTGAGTGGCTGCTGGAAATTTGGCCTGTGGTGTTGAGTGGTATGTTTGTGTGTGCCACCGTGTGCTTGGGCCGCTGCCTCATGGCTTCCATGCTGTTGAAATGATAAGTTCGTTGTGGCGAAATGATGTGTGCCTGCTCCGGAGGTGCAACGTGTTGTTTGTGCCTTTTGAGACCGGCTTGTTCCCTTTAGTGAGCATTGTTGGAGGCCTGGCTTGTTGAAATCCCCGCTGCTATCTGGTGCTGATGGTGCTGGCAGTAGTTCTGCTCGGCGATGCTGAAAGGAGAGGTATGATTTGCCTCCCTTGACTTTGCTCGTGCCAAGATTCCAACAACATTCACCCTTATGTTCCATTGGTTTGAAGGTTATGTTCAGTCCCTTGTCCTCAATTAGTGTTTGTTATATTACAAGTCCTTGTTTGCAGGCTGTTTCTTGGATCTCATGTTCTTGTCTTCGGTGTTGCAGGCTTAGAGTTATTTTCTCTCAGCTCCAAAGCACAAACACGGATAAACACGGACACTTGCAAAAAGAGTCCTTGGAGGGGGGATCGTCAGGTGCGGTGTTTGTTGTTTGGCTGTGCGTAGTGCTTAGATCGCCCTTGTTTGATGACAGCGTAGCCATTCAAGGACCCATACTGTTTTCAAGAGGAGGTTCCTCATGTGTCCTCTTGCAGTTGGAACCTGCTGCTTTGGCAAGCAAGCTCATCTTGCTGGCATGCAAACTAAAGGTACGACCAGTCGTTTTGGTTGCGGGCAACCTAAACTGCATGTATCAAAGATAAAGCCAAAGCAAAGGCTCCCTTTGAATAGTGCGTGTTGGCCTGCCACTGGCTTTATTGGTTTTGAATGATGAGAGTCTCTCGGTTGTTTGCTTCCATTTGGTAAGCATTTTGGGAAGCGGTTCGTTGGCCTTTGCTTTGGTCAGGCAGATCTTATTGCGTGGAACTCCAGCATCAGCGCCTGCGCAGTGGAATGGCAGCAAGCCTTGAAGTTGCTGCAGGACACAGCGTTCGGAACAGTGTGGGTTGGATCATTGGGGAGCTTATTCTTGAAGTGCAAGTGAAAGGGGTACATGCATGCTTGGGGTCCAGTTGGATGAGGTACTTGTGGAGCCTATGGGTTCTTCCTGTGGTCGTACATATTTCTTTCACGACTCGAATATCCTTGTTTGGAACAAAGATGAGAAGATGCCAATTTGCACTATTTCTGGCCTGTACTGGAAGAGTATTACTGGCACTTCGCAGCATGTGAGGACATGGTGGAGCAACGGCATGACCTTGACGTCATTTCGTTCAGCGCTGCCATCAATGCCTGCACAGAGACCACTCATTGGCAACATGCACTCTATCTTCTGCAGAGGCGGGCAACGGGCCAGGCGAACAGAGCGGCCAGTGCCAGAAACGCTAGAGCTTCCCGCTGAGGGATGAAAGCCCATTGCCATGATGTTTCCCGGTCTCGAAGCGGGTTGAGGCGAAGAAAGGGACCTTGCCTGGTGCTCTAAATGCTGCTGCTGCTGCTGCTGCTGCTGCTGCTGCTGCTGCTGCTGCTGCTGTCATTTTTGATCGCACCCAGCAGGGGAGCATGCGATCCCAAGCGCGTAGGCGGGTATCTTATTGGCGTCTTGATTCAACAAGGGACTAAGTGGCCACTTTGACGTTAGGTCTTATCAGAAGCGTGTTCTTTCAAACAAAGAAGCAGCCGAGTGAGCTTTTTTCCAAAAAGAGTCTTCCTGAGGGCGAGGGGCCAGCTGCACGACGTAATCTCCTACAATGCCACGATTACTGCCTGCGACAAAGCTTCCCAGTGGCGATCTGCGCTGCAGCTCTTGACGGACATCCAAACTGCGGGTGCCTTTGGCCTAACACGGTCTCCGCGACGACCGCGCGCCGCCCACTGTTGGGGTTGAACGCGTGCACTTAGCAGGAGGCAGCAGTGTGAAGGCGGCAACAGGCGGCGGTGTTTGGTTAAACAGGCTTTGCCCGGCGTGCGCAGGTTTGCAGAAACAAAGTCGTGCGCTAGTTGTTTGCATCCGCAGCGTGTGTGTGTGTGTGTGTGTGTGCGCATGTGACTCCATCAGAGCTGTGAAGCTTTTGCATCTTATCTCAGTGGCAGATTGCTGCAAAACGATACAATCATGTGCATGAGCTGTTGGCGTCTCTCGCGCCTTCATGCGCTTTCGTGGGTAGGAATGCATAGATTCCTCCGCAAAGTTGTCCTGTTCACTTGCGAGAGCAGCGCCCTTGAGCTCAGGTTTGCAGCCAGATGCCATCTCATTCACCTCTGCAATCGCTGCTTGCAAGGGCGCCCGCCAGTGGCAGCGATCTCTCCTTTTGCTTGCAGAGGTTGGGGAGCGGCAGTTACGAGCTGATGCCGCTGAGCTTCAAGTCGTCTCGAACGCGTCATGGTGCATGTAGTTGGCAGGAAGCCTACGGTTTATTTTGCCTTATTCCGTGTCAGGGACCCTCCCGAAGGATTGGTTGAGGTCCGTGTCGTGTCCAGTGGGTGGTTGTGGGGACCGTTTCGAGTCGTGTCGAGTCGTTCAAAAACCGTCGCGGCCGTGCTGTGTCGGCCGTGTCGTGCTGTGCGGCGCTGGCGCATTGCTGTCTTCGCCACACAGCGCCGCAGTTGTTTTTGGTAGCCCTTGGTAGCCTTTGGTTTCGCTTGATGGCATTTGTATTTTTTGTAGTTCTTGGTAGCCTTTCGTGGCCTTTGGTAGCCCTTGGTAGCCTTTGCAGTCTTTCGTAGTTCTTGTTTCAATTTTGGTGGCTTTCGTATCCGTTGGTGGTCGTCTTTTGTTGTTCTTGAGATGTTGGCAGCTTTCATAGTCCTTGGTAGCCTCTCGTCAGCCCTTGGTAGCCTTTGGTAGCGCTTTCATTGCGCTTTGGTAGCCTTCGCTTGGTTGGCTTTTGTTGCTCTTGGTAGCCTTTCTTTGGTAGCCGTTCCTTGGGCTTTGGTGGCCTTGCCCTGCGAATCATTGGGGGATACCCGAAAAACGACACCACAAGCGCCAGCGGCGTGACGCACTTTCCTAGACGAAGCTTCCTTGTGCGAGGCGCCGGCCGGGTTCAGGAAATCACAAGAAGTGAGGTGAAGTTGCCTGTTTCGGTGGCTCGTGTCCTACCTGGTTTCATAGGGATTGTGGTCAGGCAAAACCAAAGGATCGTTGCAGGCATGTTGGTAGAAAACCATGTCAATAAATGTCAATGGGTTTTGCGCGCTGTTCAAGTAGCCTTGAAGTGTAGCATGTTGCGGATGTGCGTTGCCGGACACAACTTCCTTTGCAAAGTCAGAAAGAACTAGACCCCGGTTATCCCGAAAGCGTGTGTGACAAAGGTGATGCAAGAATGTTGTGATGCGCACAGGTGTGATGTTGCTTGTGCACACGGCGTCGTACCACGTATCCAGGCACTACTCTACTCGACAACTCAAATTATTAAACCTACACTTACACACACCAAACAAACATCTAAGTCGGCAGGCTCTGCTGCTTGCAGCTTTGCGCTGGGCACGGGTTTGTGTTCCGCAGGGCGGTTCGGGGTTGGTGTTGAGGTTCGTGTCAAAGCGGTTCGCGCGTTTCCGCCTGAACGTGTCCGATTCGATTCGTGTCGTCCGTGTCCTTCCCAAAGTCGTTTCGACAACGTTTCGAGTCCGCAAAGTTGCGTTTGCGTGTGCTCTAGCTTAGTTATCGTCTCATTTAGGCTTGGAAGCAGACAGTCGTACAGTATCTCGGTCAGATCTGTTTTTGCTTACCGGCAACAGACCATCCAGGCATGGCCCGGCTTTAAACCGCCAATCACCAGAGCAAGCCCCCATACCGCACCACCTACATCAGGTTACAGAGAGAGGCGGAAAGATTACAAAGAAAAAATAAAGTAAGGAAAGACAAAAAGAAAGTTAAGAAGGAGAGAAGGAGAGAAAAGGAGAGAAAGAGAGAGAGAGAGAGATTGATAGGTTTGATAGATGGAGGAGAATAGAAAATATCTCCCGCCAAATGAAACTGAAGGGGCCTGTTACAGGAAGAGTTGACTTCTTTTGTGTCTCAGGCTTGCAGGCCTAGGTGGCTGGCTTTGTTATAGCTATCCTGTGCGGAAACCGTCCAATGAGTACAAAATGAACGTGTAAGCAAGCTTAGAATCAAGACAACATCAGTGCAAATCAGTGAATGGTGGGTGCAGCGAAAAGTGCAGTAATGACGCGGCAGCAAGTCGTAAGCCACATTTGCGGTAATGTATGTGGTGCAGGACTAATACGTAAACAGCGCAAAGTGGGGCACTAGCCATAGAGGTCACATCAATAGGCAGGAGGTCCACAGCAATGGTCACCTATGCAAAGCCAAAACATGCCACATAGAAGCCAAAGCCTACCTCGACCCGACACGAACCGATTTGAATGATCCGCATGGCAAAGTCAAGTTTTGAAGCTTTTCTCAAAGCAGATCCTTGATGAAGATACTTTTTGTCGGGAATCATTTAGTTTTAATGAATATAAGCTACAACGAATCTCATTTAACTTAGGCTCATGACATCTCACGAATTCCAAAAGTGAGATGAGGTGATCATGCAGGGCCTGGCACTGGCAGCCTGCGAGGCCGCGCATAAGCCCCGCAGCGGCTGCGATGTGTTGCGACAGCTGCGAGGCCATCGGAGACCAGCCGTCGAGCCACAAGTTGGGGGCTGGATGAACTTTCAATTTTCTGGGAAGACCATGTTAGTGGCAAAAGAAGAAACGTTTGGACTGTTTTTGGGCCATCTACTCAGGAAGTGATGCATGTTGGTTGGGATTTGTTGGTGGCTGCGTCGAAGATGCTGTTGACTGCTTCATATGCGAGATACTGGGTGTTTTGTTGTTTGAGGGAAGGCTGGTTCTGTTTTGCAGACGGGCTCGGTGCGTCGAGGAGTTTTTCTGGTGAGCAACCCAGCGCTGGCCAGGTTAGTTGTGAGATGTTTTTTTGTTCTTTTATTGATTGATGCTGGGCGTGCCTGAGTTAAAGTGTTGGCCGCCAGCCAAGAAGTTGGAGGACTGGTTTGTTGCCAGTAGATTTGGGGTGTTTTCGGGCAAGCAAGCAGCAGAACTCAAACTCAAGTCAGTTGCTGGGCCCTTTTAAGTTGATTCCCAAATCAGATCTTGGAAGTTATGTCTCATCACGTGCGCCCACCACTTTCTGGGCAGTTCTTTAAGGGAAGCTGCATTGAAGGAAAGCCTTTAAAGGTAGGGACCTTTTGTGTTAAGACAACCCTACGTTTGACAGCGTGTAATTTCATGTCCTCCTCTCAGGAGAAATGCCCTCTGCTCTGATTCACAGACCGTTTGAGTGAAATGTCTGGATCTGGTAGGAGGAGAGTCCACCTTGGTGAACCTTGACATTCAGGCGCTGAGCAAATTACAGCTTGATTTCCTCATCCGCAGGCGGATTGCACCTGGCGAGAGTACGGGGCAATTGAGGGCCAAGAGGACACGGCCAAGAGGACAGTTTCCATGAGGACGAGAAAGTGTCCGCAGCTGTCGCCGGCCAAGCAAATCCAATTGGTTTTGCTTATGACTGCCTGCTAAACAGTAGACATAGACAAAACAAACAGTTGGCCAAGCATCAGTTGAACCCTATTAGACCATGGTTGGCTTATCGCATTGATTCGAGTGTGCATAGCTTCCTTAATTTTCACCATCACTGCCAAAGCTGGCTGTTGACTGGCAAGCCGCGCTGCTTAGGTTGCCGAGTTGTTGATCCTTTTGGCTTCGCGGGTCGTGGGCACTGCACCCGCTCAGCAGGTAAGAGATAAAAGCAGCTGAGAGAGCCTTCACTGAGCAGATCCCTTCGCACGAATGTGGCACAGTGTACGGAGAGGTTCAACTCTGCAATTGGCCCAGTGTGAAGAAATTTGAATGGATGGAAATAGCTGAGGAAGGCTTGCCTCAGCATGCCAGACAGAAGTGTCATCCATTTCTTGCCACGTTGCTGCTTGCTCACGCAGCTTCCTTTCAACTGGCACATTGGTTCCTGGCAGGCCTATTTTCAAAGATGTTTGCATTTGGTGATGCGTTTCGAACCTTGGCAGTGATTGGAAGCCTACCTCTCCACTGTGCAGGACGTCAAAACACAAACAGAGTTGCTCAGAGGGCACCTGACCTGGACTCAAGTTGTTGCTCGAGGTTGCTTAACCGGTGCAAACATGCAAAGACGTTCACAATTGAGCGAACAAACGCGAAGCACAGGCCACAAGCTGGCCGCTTTTGCTGACTGACACAGACATGTGAGTGGTTCATTCGGGCCAACCTGTGCAACAAGATGCAGGGAGCCAAGAACCCGGTAGGAAGGGAATCAATAATGTGAACCAGCGGAAAGGGCTGAGAAGCCGTTGCACGACAAGGACACTGCTACTGGAAGTGAGTGAGCGTGCTAGAGGGTTCCTGGTAAGCTTACTTACCAATTAGAAGCACTGGTGGTTTGTCCAGCACAGGAATTCTAGCCGTTTATCTATCAAACTTACCACGTCACCCTCATTCACTTTGAATAATGTATAATATGTTTCTGCATCCATTTTTCAATGTATTTATAATATGGTATCCTCCTGCGGAGGGCCTTTCTGGAACCATTTGAACCAGGCGGGCGGACTCATTGGCGAGGCAGTCTTGCTGGGCCAGGCGGGTCTCACTGGGATGCGGCCCACTGTGATCACATTGGGGCTGCTCTTCGCTCAAAGGTCCCAGGCAGTACGATGGCTTGGATGTGTTGCGCATGCTCTCTTCGGGCATGCTTGAATAGTTTGGTTGGCCAGCAGTTTTGTGATGTGATATCCTTGCTGTGGATCTGTTTGTTCAAGTGGCTCATGACTGACATGCCCAAAGCTTGTCAACGGCACAGTCCCGCGCCATCAGCATGTTTGGCTTCTTCTTGGACACTCAGAGCGAAGAGCCTACAAGCATGCAACTCTAGTGAAGCCCTTCAAGCTAGGCACATTCCAGACTTTGGTGGAGATTTGCGGGTGCATGCGACACAGTAAGAATGCCCGCTTGCAAGGCGGGGGTCTCCGTACTAGCATCGTTGGCGCAAGCGGCGAATGCAAATTATTCACCTTACTGAGTTGATTGCTTTACCCAGTGCTGCGTCAACTAGTGAGGTGTGAGGTTCATGTGGCCACCTCCTTCGCTGCCCCTCGGGGTGGGTGTTTTCAGTGTCCGAATTGGTATCGCGTTTGTGCAAGAAGCGTTTCCCAGGTGGGTGTTGTTTTGTTCCTGGCAATGTTTTTTGTGTTCCCTGCAGTGAAAAAAGACGACTTGCTGGAATCGAAAACGTCGATCCAGGAAAGAAACTCGAAGCCCTTGTTGCTGCCTCGCTTTGCCTGTTAAGTTGCTTTGCCCCAATCACACTCCGCCATGCTTGTTTGTGTCCAAAGCAGCTGTGCTTTTGCCAGTTGCAGAAGTGTGATGCTTCTGTCATACTTGAGGCCAGCAAGCGTACCGCAACGGTTCGCGCTGTTGGGCAGGCAGACGTCGGGGAAGTCGGGCGTGTTGGATTTGCAGCAACAGAAGTGAACATGAAGGCATGTTGCACTCGCTTTCCAGCCAGATAAAACGTAACTGTTTTGCACAAGACAAATGGGAACTCTAGTACTCTTTGCACATCCTTGCGCCAGAAAGGAACAGTGCCTGGCAGGTCTTACAAACATAGATTAATTGTGCACATGTTTGACTCGTTGAATGTTGAATGCTCGAGGTTTGTGCTTCTGCCTTCTGTGATTCAGCTGCAAAGGTATGGTCAGCGAAGAGTAACATGCCTGTGTTATGCATCATGGCATATGAGTCTTCACTTCGCTCGATTATGGGTAAGCCACCACACATGCTTGGATATCACACTACCTACATTGCAGACCTTATCTGTCGAACTGGGGTGTTGCAGACCTTGATTACCGCGATAAAACCTGTTCGGCATGTGCAATTGTGTCCCTTTGTGTCCGCAGGTGCCTAGCCTCTTTGCTGCATGCCCACCACTGTGCATTGCCCTTTCACCATAGAAAGTAAAGGGTCCTCTCTTAACAATGTTGCACCCGCACCTTTAGTCAACCAGGACTGTATTAATCCTGGTGGCACATGCTGGGGTGGCCTTTGCATGCGTTACAGGCAAACCAAGCGGACGCCAACCATGTTCAACCCCCACTCTGGGATAATGCTTGGCAGCATGTTGTAGCTTTGGCCTTTGCTGAAATGATGATTCTGGGGGCAACACTAAAGTTCTGCTTGAAGGGCTGAATGTTGACCAAGGCTAAATGAGTGTTGTTCTGAGGCTCGGTGCCCCTTTTGGGGGGTTGCACCACTTTTACATGTTTCACTCGGCGACGCGCTGGGACGTCATCGTACGGAATGTGTGTGTGTGTGTGTGTGTGTGTGTGTGTGTGCGGGTGCCAGAAAACGCTGCCTTGAGCTTTCTGAAACTTGCAGGTTGTTGGCTTCGCCATTGACCAGCCGGTCACCCAGCTGATTGCGTGTCTCCACCAACGAGCTGACTCCAGGTGATTTGACCGTTGCAAGGAAGCAGTGCTTTCCGACAGGAGTATCTTGTCGCCCATCTCTGGGCGGCATTTCTGGCAATTGTAGCCGAGGGCGCTGTTACTTCTCACAAAGCTGCGCAATGTGTCTAATGGCTGTCTTTGGTAAATTGGCAAGAGCTTGCATTCAAAGAGTTTTCTCGGTTCGATGTGGATCCGATTTACTGATGCCAGCTCGAAGGGAATGTTTTTTTTGTTCAGATACTAACAAGAGCTGAAGCAAGCAAACCAGAGGTAGAAATGATTGTGTTTGTCTTAAACTAGCTTTGCACGTTCACAGGAAACCACCCAAAAAAAGTGGTTGGTGGACATGAGTCCTGACCTAAATGATATCCACCAAAGGCGTCACTCCCCTCCTTTGCCCAAGGAATGAGATAGGCCAGATCTTTCTGGACTTCCCTGAGGCGAGAGCCCGCGGGAAATTGTTGCACGTGCAGCTACGGTTGGGCATGTATCAAAATGGGGGGGGGAAGGGGGTTCCCAAGAACTGGTGGTTGTTTTTTGGGGTTGTCCTTCAGAAGAAGACGGGTCAAGGGATAGGGAACCCCAGACATGGTAAGTTTCTGTGTGGTGTCTCTTTGAACAAACTGACAAGAGTGCCCTTAAAAACATGCACCCAGTTAGAGAGTTGCAGGTACGAACAGAAGGGAGTGATTCGCAGAGATCCTGTAAGGATCATGAAGGCCAGACATGGGCAGATACCATGACCCGGCAGTAACGAATTTTGTAGGTCTGAAAAAGTGGTCAATGGAGATGGGTTCGTTGTGCTTTGCGAGAAACCGCTATTGTATCCTGCGCATGACATCCTACACGTGATGCTGACAAGACTTCTGTAACTCAGGATTTCCTTCAGTGTACCGAATACACCATTTCAAGAAAGGGCAGTAAGGAAAGAAGCCGTGTTGCGGCAGACTGTATCAGAGCTGTACGATGCTCAGATATTTGGTTTGCTCAAGAGCCCCTCAACGGGCACTTTTGATGCAACTCCAGGGTTTCTTGCAAATGATGGCTGCTTTTCTTGTACAGCTTGCTGGTTCGTGCCGTCAACAAACGGCCTTCTTGTGGGAAGGTCATCTTGGATGATCATCACCCCTCAAGTCGTACAGTAGTACAGAAGTAGTACAGCCCAGGTACTGTTTGGCCCGCTTTCATATTGGCATGCGATTAGACAGTTATTTCCCGTTGAAACTGGATTTGCGTTTGTTTGGGGTCCGCTATTCATAGAAAGTGTTTTCCCGCGGAGCCGCCAAATCTGAGCCTCTTTTTATATCTTCTCATTCCAAGGGGGCTTTTCCAACTCAAAGGCTTAGACCTCAGATCGGGTTGGTGTTTCAAGCTGGCAATCCTTCAATTTCTACAACGCCAAAGGCGGAGCCCAGATCCAGCCCTTCGGGTGTGTGGCTTGCACCCTTCCCAATTCGAAGGCTTGCATCTCAGATCTACTGAACATTGTGTTTACAGTGGGCACTTTGGGATCTCAAAATGTGCACTGGCAATACTTAATGGCGTATTGGCAATAGTCACTATGCATTGGCAACTCAAGCCCATCCCCAAACCCTACAAAACAACCAAGTCCAACTAAACAGGAGATGGTGCCCTTAACAACGCCCGCGGCATCTTCGGCCATCGGTTCTGCTTCAGGAGAAGCAGCGTATGGTGCAGCTGGCAAACCTGCGGAACCAGACTAACAAGGCTGCAAGCAGAGCGACAAATGTTTAACAAGGATGAAGATTGCAATGACACCCTTGTTTGTCTCACCAGCTTGGGGGCCAAACACACAGATACCTGGAAATATAGAGTCTTTTGCACACACTCGTACACATGCCCACCCATGCGCAACACACAACCACACATAATATTTCCATTTGCACACACACACACACACGAAATACCGCAAAAACATAAATCCACAGCCCATAGACCTCCAGCCTGGTAATCCAGAATTCTGGTCAAGATCTTTCATAATTGCTCTTGGTCATTGATTTTGGCTTTCCTCAAGCTGGGGTTGCTTGAGGCCATTCTTA